GTCGGCCATCACCTCCGGGCCCGCCTTGATGGTGCGATCCAGTCGCATCACCGCCAACGGGAGGGCTTGTTCGCCATATCCCATTCTGTTCGCCCAGAGGGTCTGTGGAGGCCTTCGGGCGAACAGAACGGGACAGGGCAAGGAATGGGGAAGACTTGTCCGAATCTCCTGGGCCACCCAAGTGCTCGTCCGAAGAATGCGGAGAGGTCCCTGGGTCATATCAATTGGCTGCTGTCCCAGGGGTCCGGTCTGCTTGGCCCGAAGAGTTTGCCAAGGTCCCTGGGGGAACAGAATGGCACAGCATATCGGGCAAAGGGGGGCGGTAGCTGGCCTGTCAGACCCGGCGTTCGTCTTCTGCCCAAGCGGTACGGGGCCCACGGGCCCCAGGGTTGGCGGCCCGCTGGGTTTCCTCGTGTTCGCCCACAGGGTTGGAGGAGGCCTCCAGGCGAACAGAATGGGGCAGGACAATGAATGTGGGAGACTTGTCGCAAGCTCCCAGCCCCGCCAAGTGTTCGCCCGAAGGGTGTGGGGCCGCGCTGGCTCCCTCAAAGGGCCGTCTTGGAGCCGTCTAGGCCCGTCTTGAGGGCGCCGTTTGCCGTGATGGGACCGTCTTTGTTCGTCGTGGGCCCCTCATGGGAGCGTCCGTAGGCCGTCCTGGGCCCATCGGGGTCCTTGTTGGCACCATTGTGGGGCTGTCTTGGAGCCGTCTCGGACCGTGAGGGGGCCGCCTTGGAGCCGTCTTGGGGTCCTCCTGTGCGCCTCCTTGGGCCGTCCTGGGCCCAGCAGGGGCCGTGTTTGAACAATGGAAGATGAACGATTTTTGCGAGCTGGGGCTCTTGTGCCATCTTGGCCCGTCTTGAGGCCCCGACCGAGCGCGTCCTTGGGCCGTCCTGGGCCCGCCCTCCTGGGACCGTCTTGGAGTCGTCTTGGGCCGTCTTGAGCGCGCCTTGGGCCGTCCTGGGCCCGTCTGGGGCCGTGTTGGCACCCTCGCGGCGAGGAAGCTCGGAAGCAGGCTAGAGGCCTCTGTGGGGCCATTTAAGAGGCTGTTGGGGCCTCTGTTGGGGCCTCGTTTGGTCTCCTTGGGAGCCTCGTGGAGCCTCTTCGGGGGATTCTTGGCGGCCCCTTGGGGCCTCTTGGGGGCCTGTTTGGGCCTCCTGGCGCCCTCTTGGGGCGGAATGCTCGGATTTTCGGTCCGTAGTCCCGTCTTGGCCCACTCTTGGGCCTGTGCTCGGGCCGTCGTGGGCCGTCTTGAGCGTCTCTTGGGTCGTCTTGGGGCCCTCTTGGGCTGTCTTGGGGCGCTCTTGGAGGCCTCTTGGGCCGTTCTGGGGCGCTCTTGGAAGCCTCTTTGGCCGTCTTCGAGCGTCGGAAAGCGGAAAGGGCGAGAAGGCCAACATGCTTCCAAAACCGTCGTAAAATTGATGATTTTGGCCGCTCGGGGCCCTCGGGGAATACGCTTGCAGGCCTCTTGTGCCGTCTGGACGGCCTCTTGGAGCGCTCTTTGGGCGTCTCGGGGGCTCCTTGAGCTGTCTTGGGGGCCTCTTGGGGCCTCCAGAGCCTCTCCGGAGCCGCCCGGGGCGTCTTGAAACCGCGCCGCCCGGGGCCGGGGCGTCGGAGGAGCCCCCCGACCCCCGCCCCTCTCAGACGCGCGTATGCCTGCAATGTAGTAGAGATGACTAGGGCGAACCCGTGCACTTCGTCGACTTCGTCCACGACCAGCAGGTCTCCCTGTCGCGCCTCTACGTTGGGCCCCCGCCCAGGAAAAAAGTCACCCCGAAGCCTTCGGTGACTTTTCTGGCCGCTTTTCCGAAGTTGGGAGGGGGGCACTTCCTCCTCTTCGTCCGCCTTCCGCTCCACGTCCGCCTGGACAGCTTCCGGAGCGTCACAGACGGCTATGGTGGGTCTGCGGTGGCCGCTTGTCTGCTCCCCCTGATTTGAACGATTTTGAAAGCACATGGGGCCTAGGAAAAAGTCACCTGTAGGGCTCTAGTGTCTTTTTTCTGGTTGCCTTTTCGAAGCCTGATGGCGGGCGCTGCCGTCTCCTTGGGAACTGTTTAGGGGCCTCTCGGGGTGTCTTTTCGGCCTCCTGGGGGCCTCTCGGAGCCCTCTTGAGCCGTCTTGCGGCCTCCTGGGGGCCTCTAGGGGCCCTCTTGGGCTGTCTTGCTGCCTCCTGGGGTCCTCTTGGGGCCCTCTTGGGCCGTCTTGCGGCCTCCTGGGGGCTTCCTGGGATCCTCTTGGGCCGTCTGGGGTGCCTCTCGGGGCCGTTTGAGCCGTCTTAAGCGCCTGTAGGGCGGTCTTGGGACCGTCTGGAGGCCCTCTTGGGCTATCCTTGGCCGCTCTTGGGGCTGTCTTGACTGCGTCTTGGGCTGCCATGGGCGCCACAGGAGCCGTCCTGGGGCAGTCTGGGGCCGTCATGGAAGCTTGCTGGGGCCCTCCTTGGGCGTCTTGCGCGCGTCTGGGGGCCGTCTGACGCGCGTCGGGGGCCGTACTGGAAGCCTCGGGTGTGTGCGAGCGTCGTTGGGCTGTCTTGGGATTGCTCAGGGGCCCTCTTGGACTGCCTTGTTGGGCCGCCCCGTGGGCCGCCTTGGGCAGCGCTGGGGCCGTCTTGCGCGCGTCGGGGGCCGTGCGGGGAGCCCCTGGGGCTGTACTGGGGGTCGTATCGTGTATGTGGGGTGTGTGAGGGCATGTTGGGCTGTCTTTGTATTGTTCAGAGGCCTTCTTGGACCGCCTTGGAGCGCGCTCCGGGGCGTCCTGGGATGGGCGGGCATGTTTTGGGAGTGCCTAGAGGAGGAGGAGGAGGAGGAGGAGGAGGAGGAGGGGGGGGTCGGAGGAGGAGGAGGAGGAGGAGGAGGAGGAGATCTTTGGGGAGGTCGATTTAGGAAGGGGGGGGGTCGTACATGTCAGCCCCCTCCCATGATGCAACCGGGGGGCCACACCGTTGTCGGGCCTTGGTTTGAGGTCAGGGGCTTTTTTGGAGGCTACCAGGGAGCCACACACGGGGAGAGGTGCCAGGGCTGGAGGCTCTCTTGGCAGCTCTGTGTGAACCAGCAGAGTTTCTTGGGAGGCCCTGGGGCATCTTGGAGTGGTCTGGGGCGTGCTTTGGGGGTCTGGTGCTTTCTTGGGGGCGTATGGGGTTCGAAAAGCGGCGAAAGGGTGCCGTGGATGGAGGCGCTCTCCTGGGGAGCTCTGGGGCAACTATCGGAGTCTCTTGGGAGACTCTGGGGCATCTCGGAGTGGTCCTTGGAGAGTTCGTGGCTCATTGGGGGCTGCGGGAAGGCCGCGGTATAGACTCCCTGCGGCCCCTCTGGGAGCTCTCCACGGGTTCTCTCTGGAGCCTCGTGGGGCCGTCTTGGGCCATCTTGGGGCTCTCTTGGGCCGTCTCGGGGGCCCCGCGGGCCGCCTGGGGGCCATGGTCGTGGTCTCGGGCCGTCTTGGAGTTTGCTGTGGGGCCTGTTCGGCAACTCCTGGGGCCCTCTTGGGCGGCACCCCGATGCACTCCCTCTCCTTCCTTCTCTCCTTCCTCCCTGCTCCTGCTCCTGCTGCTGATCACCACATGTTGATTTGGGCATACCCCTCACACGCTGCGTGGTCCCAGAGGGAGATCCACCCAAGGCCCCAATGGCAGAGTCCGCATGCGTCCCCCCTCCCATTTTGGCAAACCCTTCACACGTTTCTTGGCCCCAGAGGGAGCTCCACCAAAAGCCCCTAAGGCCTCAGGGACACAATCCGCGTTCGTTCCTTTGTCGATTTCGGCCTACCCCTGAAAATTTCGGGGCCGCCAAGGGGTCACACGTTTCGTGGCCCCAGAAGGAGCCCCCTCCTTCGTCCCACCTGCCTTGCGGCATTCACACTTGCAGATGGCGGGTCCTTCGCCAAGATAGTTTCCAGTGATCTGTGGCCTTCGAGGGGCATGTCAGAGCAATTTCGAGGGAGCTGCTGGAGGCTTTCAGCCTCTGGGGAGCGCCCTGTAGGCATTAAGGGAGCTTCTGGCGGGGGATCTGTGGGGTTTGCTGGCTTTGTGGGGGGACGGGATGGGGGGGGGGCCCTGATGGGCCTCCCTTAAGGCCGTCCTGTGCTAGGGGGATGTCTCTGGAGCAGGCCTCTGGGGCCGTCGTAGGGGCTCTCTTGGGAGCCCCCTGGGCTCCCTGAGGATGATTCGGGAGGCTTCTCGGGGTGGGTTTGGCGTCGTTTGGCCGGAAACACGAGCGCGGGGGGAAGAGGTGTCCAAAAACACAGAAAGAGACTTTCGACAGCTCTTCGGCCTTCTCGGCCCTCTCGGAAGCCCCACGGGAGCCGTACAGAGCCTCGTGGGAGCCTTCCGGGGCCGTCTGTCGGGCCAGGCGAAAGGGGGGGATAGCAAAGGGGGGGTTTGAGAATCAGCTCACGGAGCTGATTCTCCCGGCGCCTCCCGGCGCCGGGAGGCGCCCATGTATCGAGGAATGGGCCCCTCGGCGGGGCCGAAACCAGCTGCCTGCAGCAGATTTCGTACCCCCCCCCCCTCTCCCAATCCCCCCCTCTCGCCCGGCCCGAGTCTGGGAGCCCTCCTGCGCTTCTCCGAGGGGGGGGGGGCCTCCCAGGGCCCCTCGCGGGGCCCCTATCGGGGCAGGACGCCGGCGCCCCCGGAGCCGAGCTGCGGAGGCGCCGCGCGGGGGGGGGGAGAGTCGCCGCGCCCGTCTGGCGCGCGCCGGCCCCGGCACTGTCAACCGGCCTCGAACGGATCCCTATCCCTGAGATGGGCGAGCAGAGAGCGAGGACAATCTCAGGGGTAGGCCCTCAGAAGCTGAGGGAAGCCTTCAGATCGGCATGGAGGTGAGGTGATGCCAAACATAGAGATAGGGGTGTGTTTCAAACTGGTGAACTGTGGTACGAGGTGACGCTGGGCTTCAGGTTCGACCTCCGCAGCTCGCTGAGCAGCGCCAACGCCCACGGCCACTGCTCGCCCCTCCCGCAGGCGCTGATGACAGCGTTGTAGCTGACGACCTCGGGATGCAGCTTTGCCTTCCTCATCTCGCTGAACAGCGCCAAAGCCCGCTGCCACTGCTCGCCCTTCTCGCACGCGCTGATCCCAGCGCTGTAGCTGACTGCAATGTAGTAGAGACTAGGGCGGACCCGTGGACTCCGTCCACGCAGCCTTCACGAATTGGTAGGTGGTCGTGGCAATTTTGCCAAATGCCTGACATAACGTGGGGCTCGAACTTCAAATTCTGCGTATGCCACTGCGTGCTGCTGCTTGCTGCCGCTGCTGCGTGCTGCTGGTGCTGCTGGTGCTGCTCACCGATGCTGCGTGCTGTCGTTGTTTGTAGCTGGAGGGAGCTGCTGATGGCCACTTCTGCTCAGCCGTGCTGCCGCCCGCTGCGTGCTGCCGCTTGCTGCTGCCGTGCGCTCCCGCCGCTGCTGCCGCTTTTTCCGCTGCGGCCGCTCGCTGCTGCTGCTCGATGCTGCAAGGTTAATGTTTCTCGCTGCTTCAGCGCTCTGACGCAACCTGCTGCCGGGTCAGGGCCACCCTGACCGGCACAGTGCGACTCTTTGCATCAGCGTGTCCTATGATGGAGACCCCACCTGCTCGAAACAAGCGCCAAAAACGGCCAAGACCTACTGCACAGGGAGGGGGAGGGGGGGGGGGGCGAGGGCCCGAGCCGATCGGCAAAACACTGAATCAGAAAACGATCGCGCGGACCCAAGAGAAGATCCGGGTCCGACGGTCCGACGTTAGGTGGCCGTGGTGGGAACAAAGCTGCTGTCTCAACGGGCCCCCTGCGAGCACCGCAGCGGGAGGGCCACGCCCGCCTCCGCGTCTCGCCGCTCTCGAGGCCCTCTGCTGGCTCCCGGGGGGGGCTCTCTCGGGCGCCTCTTGCGGCCCTCTCAGACGATGCTGGGCTTCTCGTGGGCTCTGCTGGGTGTCGCGTGGGCTGTCTCGGAAGCCGCTGCGTGACCGGAAGAGACCCATTCGATGCAGAGACCCTCCTCGCACGCACTCGTTCCGGTATTGTAGCAGAGACTAGGGCTGACTCGTGGACTACCGTCCACGAATACCTGTGGTCAGAGTGCCCTTGCTGCTGCTCATTGCTACAGGTGAGCTATATGCTTGATGGTTCTGAGGGCGTCCAAAGCAGCGCTAGCAGTTTCAGCGGTAGCAGATCCAGGGGCATTGGCAATTGCAGCCGCAGCAGCTCCAACTCCTCCTCCTCCTCCTCCTCCTCCTGCGTTTCCTCCTCCTGCATTTCCTCCTCTTGCTTGGCTCGTCCTCGTCCTCCGCCTCCTCCTCCTCCTCCTCCTCTTCCTCCTCCTCCTCCTCCTCCTGCTCGTCGTTGTGATTGGCCCGTCCTTGTCCTCGGGCTCGTGGTGCTCCTCCTCGTCGTCCCCCTCGTCCTCCTCGTCCTCCTCGTCCTTGTCCTTGTCCTCGTCCTCCTCCTCCTCCTCCTCCTCCTCGTCCGCCTCCTCCCCTCCGGGGAATCGTGAGGCTCCGACCCCGCAGGCAGAAGCGCCTGTGACGGAGGAGAGCGGAGACGAGGCAGAGAAGGAAGAGGCCCAAGATGATTGGAAACAAACCGCACCCCACACCTCTTGGGACGCGCTCGGCGCGGGAGGGATCAATCCCTCCCGCCCGAGAGGTGTCCCTAGAGGCGTGGGGTGTGGCATTTCCCAATCACCTGGTGCTTCTGGGAGCCTGCCGGGGTTGCTTGGAGGGAGCTGGTGGAGGCCTTCTGGGAGCCCGTGCGGAGCGAGGAGCAAGAGGAGCGAGACGGGAGGCATCAGAATCGGCGGCGAGCTCCGAGGGGGAAGTGAGGAGGGGCGGGCCTTCTCAGGAGGCTCGGAAGTCCCGCGGCCTTCTGAGAAGCCTTCTGCGCCTCCCCCGAAGACACAGAGAACCTCTCAGAAGGCCAGAGGCCTTCGGAGAAGTCCTGCCGCCTGCTGAGAAGGCCACCTCCTTCTCACTTCCCCCCCCTCGCTCGCCGCCAAGAGACGAGTCCAGCACACGCCTGTCTCAATGATCTCGGCGCGCGCTTGGCTCTGGGGTCGCTCAAAGGACTCGCTCTTGGGTGGCCGGCGCGGTCCCAGAGCTCTCTAAGGGATCTCCCCCCGGACACCTCTACGAGGCGGCTTGGGGAGTGCACTGTAGCCTCTGACGGCCCTCTCGAGGCCTGATGTAGATCTCTTGGGGGCCACTTGGGGCTTCTGGGCGTCTTCTTGGGGCCCTGCTGGCGTTCTCGGGGAGGGGCATCTCGGAACCTCTTGGGGCAGTCGTGGGTCGTCTTGGGGCCCTCCTGGGCTGTCTGGGGGCCCTGCTGAAGTCTCAGCGGCCCGTCCTGGTGGGCTTGGGCGCCTCTCTGGCTGCCCTGCACCGTCGGAGGCAAGAAAAAGGCGAGAACGCTGGAATTCTTCGAGGATCAAAAGGGGAAACACTGATTTTGGGCCTCTTGGGGCCCTCTTGGGGGACCCTGTGGAGCGCCCTTGGGCCGCTCTGGGGCGCTGCTGGACCGTCTGCATGCCATACTGGCGGCCTCTTGGGCCGTCTGCAGGCGTCTCGTGCCATCGGGGACCGTCTCTGGGCCCTCCTTGGCAGCCTTCGAGCGCCCCAGCGCTATTTTTACTGGGTTCCCTGGGCCTGAGGAAGCCCAGAAAGCCTCAATTCAAGCCACATGTGCCTCCCTGGCAATGAACAAAAGACGACGTCGGGCGCCAGCTTCGCCTCCCACATCTCGCTCAGCAGCGCCAGAGCCCACTGCCACTGCTTGCTCTTCTCGCACGCGCTGATCCCAGCGCTGTAGCTAACGAGTGCGTACCCGTGGAGCAGACCCGCCGGTGCCCTGGCAGGGGAACGCGGCGGGGCCGACAGGCGGCGACAGCCAATTGGCTGACAGATGGTGTAGATGATACAACCGAGGAGCTCGGCGGCCCGAAGACGGCCCGAAGACGGCCCCAAAAGGGCCTTCAGAAAGCACCCGACGGGTGCTGCAACAGGGGGGTGAGTTGTAGCATCCGTTGGGTTGCCTCTTCGGGCTCTCTGGGAGCGCTCTTGGGGCCGTCTTGGGATGTACAAGGGGCTCGTCCTGGGAGCCTCTTGGGCCGGCTTAGGGCTCTCTTGGGCCGTCTTGGGGCGTCTTGGGGCTCTCTCGAGCCGCCTTAGGGTTCTCTTGGGGAGCCTTGTGGGTCGGCCTGGGGCGATCTTGGGGGCTGTTGGGCCATCGCGGACGCTGCAAGGGACCCCAAATCGCGTATGCTAAACATGTTGGAAAAACCAGCGGGAAACCTCAGATGTCTGCACCAGGAGGCCCTGCTGGGAGTGCTCTGGGAGCGCTCTGGGGCGCTGCCACGACTGGCACCCTCCACGCGCTGCTCCCAGGCACTGTGGGATAAGATGCGGTGCCTGATGACGTGGGGCTCCAGCCTCGCTTTGCCCATCTCGCTCAGCAGCGCCAGTGCCCGCTGCCACTGTGCGCCCTTCTCGCATGCACTGATCCCAGCGCTGTAGCTGATGCCTGCAGTGGAATAGAGACTACGCCTGACCCGTGAATTCCGTCCACGTCGACCATCGCGTCCAGCGTATGCTTGTTGATGCCTGTGTCTTTAGACTGGCTGCTGCTGATGCTGCTTGCGAGAAGTTTTTTGTTGCCTGCTTGTAATGGCGTGTTGCTTGTTTTGCACTGCTTGCTTGCTGCTTGCTGCTTGCTTGCTTGCTGGCTGGCTGGCTGACTTGCTGCTTGTTGCTGCTTCTGGTTACTGTTTGCTGCTGGAAGTTACAATGGGGGCTCTCCTAGGGCTTCTTAAACTACCTTAGAGCCCGGCTGGGCCGTCAGGGGGTCCAGGGGCTGTCTGGGGGGGGGGGCGTCTTTAGTCGCCCATGGACGATCTTGAGCCGCCTGGCGCCGTGTCGGGGCCAAGGATGGAAATTAAGCAGCGCATGTGCGCCTTATTTTCCAACGATGTTCCATCGCGGCTGTGGCCGCCGAGAAGATCGGAGGAGGCGCGCGGACTGCGTAGCCTCGGAAGAAGGCAAACGGGCTGTGGAGCATGCCCCCCGGTGACTGGCGGGTCCGGAGCATTCTCAGGGAGAACTGCCCGACGGGTCGCCCATTCAAATCAGAGCCGCTCCCAGAGGAGGAGGAGGAGGAGGAGGAGGAGGAGGAGGAGAAGGAGGAGGAGGAGGAGGAGGAGGAGGAGGAGGGCGGAGGAGGGAGGAGGAGGAGGAAAGGCGGGAGAAACAGACGCGCATGGGTCCCATATTTTCCTGGGCGGCCGGCGCGGCCCTGGACATCTCCATGGGAGCTTCCCTCGGAAGCCTCTCGGAGGCGCTTTGGGGGGTCATATTGGGGCCTCTCGGGAGCCTCGTGGATGGCCTCTTGGTGCCTGATCCCAGCGGGGGCGTCCTGGGGCTTCTGAGGGGCATCTTTCTTCGGGGCCTGCTGGCGGTCCCGGGGATCATCTTGGGGCGGAGGGTGCGAACTGCCAATTCGTGTTCTCCATTTTGGGGGCCCTCGTGTGGCCTTGTTGGACCGTCTTGGGGGCCTCTTGGGCCATCTCTGGGCCCTCTTGGGCCGTCTGTGGACCCTCTTGGAGACATGTTGGGCCGCCTCGGGACGATTTGTGGGGCCTCTTGGGCCGTCTTGCAGCTTCAAAAAATGATCGACCCACGAACCCGGAAAGGAATATAGACATGAGAGGCATGGCAACGCTTTCAAAACAAATGATTGGGCGACGGGCAATTGCAATGCTGAGTGTATCGATCTTAATGTACCGTGTAAAGTGCTGTGCTGTGCTGAGCCACGCTGACTTGCGATGTGCCATGCCGCGTCTGTGCTCTATAGCGTTGTGATTCGAGTCCACCTTTGCATCCGAGTCCTGGCCGAACTGGTCTGGATCTTAAGCTCGAGCTGTCTGAGCACATGGTAGCTGCCCCAGAGCTACTTGACAGGGGGCATGCCAGTGGGACACGCCGCGGAACGTCCCAAGGGACGTGCCAGGGGACGTGCCATCATGGGGACGCACCGCGGGACGTGCCGAGGGGACGCGCATTGGAACGTGCCGATGGACGTGCCACGGGACGTGCCAGGGGACGCGCCGCGCGACGTGCCAGGGGGACTCGCCAAGGGGCGCGGCACAGAAAGTGCTAAGAAACGTGGCAGGTTGCAATGCTGAGTGTATCGATCTTGATGTACCGTGCCAAATGCTGTGCTATGCTGCGCCACGCTGAATTGCGATGTGCCATGTCGCGATTGTGCTCTACAGCGTTGTGAACCGAGTCCTCCTTTGCATCCGAGTCCTGACCGAACTGATCTGGATCTGAAGCTCGAGCTGCCTGAGCACATACAGTCGGACTTGATTGGACAGGACACGCGAGAGGACACAAGACTCTTCCGAGGGTCACATTGCCACAGGAATGTAGGAAGCATGGGTCGCGAGACACAGGACGCAAGGGTACCCTTGATTTGGCAGGGTCGACTTACTAATCGGGGGCGACTGTAATAGCTGGCCCAATGCTAATTGACAGAGGAACATGCCGGTGGGACGCGCCGCGTAACGTCCCAAGGGATGCGCCAGGAGACGTGCCAGGGGACGTGCCATGGGTACGCACCGCGGGAAGTGCCGAGGGGACGCGCTACGGAACGTGCCAATGGACGTGCCAGGGGACGCGCCAGGGGACGCGCCGCGCGACGTGCCAGGGGGACTTGCAACGGGACTCGCCATGGAAAGCGCCACGGAACGTGCCAGATTACAATGCTGAATGTATCGATCTTGATGTACCGTGCCAAATGCTGTGCTGTGCTGCGCCACGTTGAATTGCGATGTGCCATGCCGCGATTGTGCTCTATAGCGTTGTGAATCGAGTCCTCCTTTGCATCCGAGGTCCTGACCGAACTGATGTGGATCTGAAGCTCGAACTGCCTGAGCACGTAGTAGCTGCCCCAGAGCTAATTGACAGGGGGCATGCCAGTGGGACACGCCGCGGAACGTCCCAAGGGACGCGCCGGGGGACGTGCCATGGGGACGCACCGCGGAACGTGCCACGCGAAAACAAGCGTCTCTTTCGAGATGTCCTCAACACATCCTCATGCTAGACATCTGCGTGGACGACCTGGACGCATGAAAACAAACGTCTCGCTCGAGACATCCTCAACAATTCCTGGTGCTAGACATCTGCCTGGGCAACCTGGAGGCGTGAAACCAAGCGTCTCGCTCGAGACATTTCCAAGACCTGGGCACGTGAAACCAAGCATTTCACATCAGACATCCTCAAAATCCGGGCCCCCAGGAGAGGAACGATCTATAGCACAGAACGAACGTTTCGCTCAAGACATCCTCAACAAAGTGTGCAAACCAATCGATCGAAATTTAAGAAACCATCGTTTCGCTCGGGGCATCCTCAAAACGTAATTCGCTGGCACTACGCGACTTCGTTATGGATCGCAAAGAATTTCGCCGGCCCGTCTCAAGTCTTCCTCGTGGGTAAAATTCATACAAGAGAACTTGGGGCTGGCGCCCATTCAGGGAGAAACGAAAGCGTCAAGCTCTTATTCTTAAACATGAGAAATCAATGATTTGGGTCTCTCGCGGACACCTTGGGGAGCCTCTTGGAGCCCTCTTCGGCCGTCTTCGGGCCTTCGTTGGGCCTTCTGAAAGCTGAAAATTACGACCTCGTGAGCCGTCCTGGGGCGCCTTCCAAGACACCTGGGGCCGTTTGTGGGCCGTCTGCTGCTCTCCGGAGCCTATCTGGACACCCCTCTGAGGCCCTCCATGTGCGCCCCTACAGGCTCCTAGCCCCACTCGCCCCCCCCCGACCCTTCTCGTACGCATCTCCCCCGGCATTGTACATGTGATGACGTCGGCCAAAACCTTCGCCTCCCACATCTCCCTCAGCAGCGCCAACGCCGGCTGCCACTGCCCACCCTTCTCGCACGCGCTGATCCCAGCGCTGTAGCTGATGATTCGTGTGCACTCGTGGAAGATCCATGGCAGGCAGGTCGAGGTGCGTGCCCCGGCCGCGCACGTGTCGCCGACGCGAGCAGGAGGAAGTCGACGGCGAGCGGCGCCCGAGAGGGGGAGGGAGAGGGCCCCACGGGGAGAGAGGAGAAGGAGAAGACAGGGCGGGGAGCAGAGCTTCCTGGGGCCCCGTTCGGGGTCTGGGGCTTGCTTTGGGGCGTCGTGGATGTCTCGACCCATGTCACCCGCATCGCTCGTAGGGGGGGAGGGGCGCGGTCTACTGCTGTGTGCACAGGGGCGACGAGGAGCAGAGGGTGATGGGGGAAGAAGGCGAGCAGGAGGAGCAGAGCGACGCCAGAAAAATGGGCGTGGAGGCACCAACGAGGAAGAGGAGGAGGAGAAGGAGGAGGAGGAGGAGGAGGAAAAGGAGGAGGAGACAAGAGAAGTGAAGAGAAGAGAAGCTAATCTACGAGAGCAGGAAAAGGTTGTCTTGGGCGTGTTTGGGGTTCGGGGTTGTCATTGGGGCTAAGGATTGTGAAACAACACGGTAGGAAGTGTCGGGGTATGAGATTTTCATGAGAGCCCCTTGGCAAGTAGCAGAACTCCCTTTGGGGAGCTGCGGGCCAACTAGACGTGGTCTGGGGTTTTTGGGTTTTTTGGGGGCCTCCGAGGGTTCAGAATCATGATCGGGCCACGAGCCCGGAAAATACTATAGAAACGTAACACCTGATTCGGCGACGGGCAATTGCAGTGCTGAGTGTATCGATGTTGACGTACCGTGCCAAGGTTTGCGCTGTGCTGCGCCAGCTGAGTTGCGACGTGCCATGCCGCGATTGTGTTCTATAGTCGAAACCCCCTTTTGCATCCGAGTGTTGACCCATCTGGTCTGGTAAGCACAAGCTGCCTGAGCACATCGTGGCTGCCCCAGAACTGCTTGACAGGGGGACACGCCAGGGGGACGCGCCGCGGAATGTCCTAAGGGACGCGCCAGAGTACGGGGACGTGCCACGGGGACACACAACGGGACGTGCCGAGGGGACGCGCTACGGAACGTGCCAATGGACGTGCCAGGGGGACTCGCAACGTGACGCGCCACGGAACGTGCCAGGGCAACTCGCCAGGGGGCGCGCCATGGAACGTGCCAAATTTCAAGGCTGAGTGTACCGATCTTGATGTACCGTGCAAAATGCTGTGCTGCGCTGCGCCGTGCTGAGTTGCGATGTGCCATGCCGCGATTGTGTTCTATAGCGTTGTGGATCGGGTGCTCCTTTGCATCCGAGTCCTGACCCAACGGATGTGGATCTGAAGCTCGAGCTGACTGAGCACATCATGGCTGCCCCAGAGCTGATTGACATGGGGACACGCCAGGGGTACGCGCCGCGGAACGTCCCAAGGGACGCGCCAAGGGACGTACCAGGGGACGCGCCACGGGGACGCACAGCGGGACGTGCCAAGGGGACGTGCTACGGGGACGCGCCGCGCGACGCGCCAGGGGGACTCGCCACGGGACGCGCCACTGAACGTGCCAGGGAACGTGCCAAGGAACGCATCAGGGAACGTGCCGCGGGACGCCCCGGCCAGGATCCCTTCTAGATTACAATGCGTCCGCGCTCCAAGGGCCACGATCCATTGTAAATTACGCACCGTCCGCTCTCCCAGGGCCACGATCCCTAGTACATTGCACAGCGTCCACTCTTCATAGGCCGCGATCCCACGTGAACTACGCTGCGCCCGCGTTCCCAAGACAGCGCTCCCTCCTGAATTGGGCGGCGCCGACGCCCCCAAGGCCACGCTCACCAGTAAATTATGCTTACACTGCGTCCGCGCTTCCAAGGCCACGATCCACTGTAAATTATCCTGCGTCCGCTCTCCCAAGGACACGATCCCTAGAAAATTGCGCTGCGTCCGCTCTTCATGGGCCACGATCCCCGGTAAATTACGCTGCGTCCGCGCTCCCAGGGCCGCGCTCCGGCGCTTTTCGCATAGTGTCCGCCCCCCCAGGGTCATGATCCTTCAGAAATTACTCTGCGTCCGCGCTCCCTGGGCCACGATCCCTCCCCTCGTACATTGCGCTGCGTCCGCTTTCCCTGGGCCGCGATCCATCGAAGATTACGCTGCGTCCGCGCTCCCAGGGCCACGTTCCCTCATGAATTACACTGTGTCCGCCCCCCCAGGGCCACGATCCCTTATACATTACGCTGCGTCCGCGCTCCCAGGACCACGATCTCTTGAAAATTACATTGCGTCCGCGCCCCCAGGGCCGCGATCCCGTGTAAATTACGCTGCGTCCGCGCTCCCTGTGCAACGATCCTTTGTAAATTACGCTGAGTCCGCTCTCCCTGGGTTACGATCCTTAAAAGACTAAACTGCGTTCGCGCTCTTCTTTCTTGAACCCATTGCAGAGACGCCTGAAAGAACAGCCACTGTAAATGACCAGAGCTCCTCACATATGTGAGGGACAGAAGACTTGCAAGCAATGGCAACGACCTGTCACCAACGGTCGGGGAAGACCTGCTGAAAGTAACGAGCAATAGGGTCCAAGAGACGACTAAGCGCCCAGACCCTCGTCCAGGCACCCGTCCGAGAGCGGGAGGCCCCTCCAGGAACCTCTCCGCGGTGTGCGGCATCACCAGTGGCGCCCGCACAAGGCACAACCCTGGCCGTGCCCCTCCACAGCGGGAGGAGACCACCGTAGCCACTCCCGCTCGCTGACTCTAGGGCCCCTGCGCGTGGACCGATGCGTGCAGCACCTCGAGCAGCTCTTCGGCGATGTCCTGCTTAGTGGCCAGCTTCTCACGCTGGCTCGCGCTCACTGGCTTGCGGCCAGACTCAGCGGGCTCGATCGTTCAGATCTCGCGAAGCTGCTTGCATAGCTTCTTGCTGTGCTTCGTGCTGAGAGCAGGGTGCTCGGCCGCCATGGCAAACGCCTGGTCGATCACGTTGTCGAAGGTGGGCCTCACGGCGATCGTGGCCGAGGGCTTGTCGACTACGGCGTTGGTCACGTTCTCCGCGACCCCCACGGGGCTCCCGCACGCGGAGTTGATGTCGAAGTGCTGCCCCTCGATCTCGGACCCGATGCCCTCCAGCTCCTTCCGCGCGCTGTCGCCAAGGCAGAGGGTGGTGCCGAAACCGTCGATGGGGTTGGCGATGCCCTCCAGCTCCTGGTAGTTGCCCTCTTCTTCGGTCTTGTCCTGCAGCGTCTCCAGCTGCAGGGCGTTGCACTCCACGTTGTCCTCGGAGTTGTCCTGCAGCAAATCCTCCTGCAGGGAATTGCCGTTCGCGCCCTTCACGATCATCTCGGTCGACGGAGAGGAACTCTCCGAGTGCTGGCTCGTCGTGGTCTCCTGGGCGCTGCCGCGGAAGTCGTAGGCCATGCTGTTGCCCTTGCTGGACCCCCCGCGTCGAAGATATCGCTGCCGCGAGAGTCGTAGGGCGTGCGCTTGTCCTCGCTGGACGCCTTCACGGAGGCGCCACCACTCTCGGAACCGATGTCCAACTGCCTGCGGCCGAGCTACCCCTGCAGGCGGACCAGGACGGCCTCCGCCTCTCCCGGGTGCCAGAGGAGGCCGCTTGCCGCGTCGAGCGCGCGGCAGCTGCGCTCGAGGTCGGGCGGCATGCGCCGACCCCGCTCGCGGAGCAGGGCGAGGCCCGCGGCAAGGGTCGCGCCGCCGAGGAGGGCGACCTCCTCCGCGGCGGCTCCCAGGACACGCTGCGCGCGCTCGCCCAGCGCGGCGAGCGCCGACGGCGACCCCGCCAGCGCCCGCGGCTCTGCGATCCCAGCCGCACCCGTCGCGGGAGCAGCTGAGGCCTTCAACTGGGGCTTGTGCATCAGCTCCGCGGCCTCCTCCACACAGGAGGCGTTGGCCAGCGCCGCGCCGTGCCTCGCCGTGATGCCGCCTCGGCCGCCACGCCCCATCGCGACCGCCGCACTGCGCCCAGCCGCGGGCGCAACCCGTGTAAGGGCCGACCAGCACGGACGGCACACCTTGAGCCCAAATGGCGACGGACTGCGTTCACGCTCCCATGTGCCACCTCCTCCTCCTCCTCCTCCTCCTCCTCCTCCTCCTCCTCCTCCTCCTCCTCCTCCCCCTCTTCCTCCTCCTCCTCCTCCTCCTCCTCCTCCTCCTCCTCCTCCTCCTCCTCCTCCTCCTCCTCCTCCCCCTCTTCCTCCTCCTCCTCCTCCTCCTCCTCCTCCTCCTCCTCCTCCTCCTCCTCCGATCCCTGGTAAATCACGCTGCATCCGCTCTCCCAGGGCCCCCTGGGGCATCCGCGGGCGTCCAGGCTCCTGGAAGTCGCCAAAGCAAGCGCTTCGCTCGATGCGTCCTCAACAAATGATGCACAACAAGCGTTTCGCGAGAGCCATCATCCACAAACGAACCTGCTTACTCTACGATGTTGTATCGATCGGATTTTGGAACACCAGCGTTTCGCTCGGGACATCCTCACATGTGAATTCGCCGGCCCGTCTCGACCTCGATACTTATCACAGAACATGAAAAACATCGCCGGGCCGTCTCAAGTCGTCCCCGGGGGTAAAGCCCCTAAAAGAGAACCCTGGGCCGGCGCCCTTTCTGGGACAAAAAGGCGACACGTGCTGGGGCCGGAGGTTCTCTTGGGAGCTGCTTGGCAACAGTCGGAGTCTGATAGGGGGCTGCAGAGCACCTAGAAGCGGTCCTTCTTGGACAGTTTTTCGGGCCCTCTTGGGCCGTCCGAAAATCAAGAAACGGCGAAAAGGGCTGGGGCTGGAGGCTCTCGTAGGAGCTCCTTGGCACTGTCGGAGTCTGCTGGGAGGCACCTCGGATTAGTCCTTCTTGAGCAGCTGTTGGAGCCCTCCAGGGCCAATTTGGGGGCCCTCTTGGGCCGTTTTGAGGCCCTCTTGGGCTGCCTCGGGGGCCTCAGGCGGGCATCTTGGGCCATGGTGGAGGTCTGGGGCCGTCTGGGAGCCTGGTTTGGCAGCTCCTGGGGGTCTTGGGGGGGGCACCTGAAGCTCTATGCGGCCGTCTGGAGCCTGACTTGGGCCAGCTTGGGGCCCTGTTTGGCTGTGTTGGTGTGCTCGTCGGGGCACCTTGGGCCATCTTGGGGTGATCGTGGAAGTGCCTGGAACTGCGTGGGGCCTGTCTGGGCCCGCCGATGGGAGAATGTAACACACTCAAGAAAATGACCAGTCGTTGGTTTCTGGTCTCCTGGGGCCGTCATCGGAGTCCTCGTGGGCCCTCGTGGGCCGTAGAGGGCGTTTTGAGCCATCTTGGGGCCAGGGTGGGGATCTGGGGCCGTCTGGGAGCCCAGTTTGGGCCCTCTTGGGCAGCTCATGGAGCGTCTTTGGGGGGGGGGGCACTTGAAGCTGTGTTAGACTCCCCGAGGCCTGTTCTGGGCCGTCTTGGCCGTCTTAGTGGGCTCGTGAGGGCCTCTTGGGCCATCTTGATGCGATCTTGGAAGGACCCGCAGCAGTGTGGAAGGGCGCTCTGGGCCGTGGGGAGAGTATGGGCAACACAGAAAATCATCAAATTTTGCTTGATTGCTCGCCTCGTGGGGCCGTCATCGGAATCATCGGCCGTCCCGAGGGCCTCTTGCGGGCAATCTTTGGGCCATGGTGGAGGTTTGGGGCCGACTGGGAGCCTGGTTTGGGACCTCTTGGGCAGCTCCTGGGGCGTCTTGGGAGGCCACTTGATGCTCTGTTAGGCTCTCCAAGGCCTGCCTGTTCTGATCCGTCTTGGGGCCCTCGTGAGCCGTCTTGGTAGGCTCGTGAGGGGCTGGTGGGCCATCTTGGTGCAATCTTGCAAAGGCCTACAGCCGTGTGGGGAAGTTCATGGCCCGTCATGATACAAAGCATACAGGGCTTTCTTTTTTCGGCTCATGGGACGATCGGGGTCCCCGTGAGCTGTCTGTGGAGCCTCACGGCGAGTCTTCGGGCCCTCTTGCTCTTGGGCTGTCCTGGCGCCCTCCGGAGCGTCGAAGAGCTTGGGGCTGCCTGAGGCCGACGCGGGCCGTGGGGGGTCGTCTTTGGGGCACTCCAGGCGCGCGGGGGCGCTCTGGAGCGGTGTTTCCAGAGCGTACTGCTCGCACGCGCAGCGACCAGAGTTGTAGGTGCAGAGATGACGTTGGGCTCCAGGTTCGCCTCCCGCATCTTGCTCAGAAGCTCCAGCGCCTGTTGCCACTGCTCGCCCTTCTCGCACGCGCTGACCCCAGCGCTGTAACTGACGACGCTGGGCTCCAGCTTCGCCACCCGCATCTGGCTGAGCAGCGACAAAGCTCGCTGCCACTGCTCGCCCTTCCCGCACGCGCTGATCCCAGCGCTGTAGCATACTAGTGTGACTTTGTGCTGAACCTGGGATTCGCACATCGTGGGTGAACAGCTCGTCGAAGTTGAACAGCTCGGGCGTCCCTGAGGCCGTGTCGGGGGCATGTTGGGCCCTCCTGCGAGCCTGTCTGGCGCGCGCCTCTGGGGCCGTTCCTGGGCTGTCCCCCAGAGCCGCTTTCGGGGGACAGCCCGAGAAACTGATTGTTCGCGCGTGCTGTGAGGTTGCTGTCAGAAGGTCTACCCTGCCAACCCTGAGGTTAGCTGCAGGGTTTGCTGCAGGCTCCAGGGGCCGTGGCTGGATGCTGTCTTCGAGCCTGGCGTTTGGGGTTCGAGAGACGGCGAAAGGTTGTCGTAGCTGGAGGAGGCACTCTCCCTGGGAGCTCCTGAGGAGGAGGAGGAGGAGGAGGAGGAGGAGGAGGAGGAGGAGGAGGAGCGAGGAGGATGAGGAGGAGGAGGAGGAGGAGGAGTGAGTGAGTGAGGACACCGCTACGCGGACGCACAGGTGCGATCCGCGCACGGCCGCCCGCGGACCGCGGGCGCCGCGGCGCGCCATAGCGCGGCGCAGGACGGAGGTGCCCCCCAGAGAGAGGAGAGGGACCTCCGTCCTAATGACCTGGACGAGCGGCGCGGCCTCCAGCGCCAGGAGCACCGCGTCGTCGTGGCGAGCCGCCCGCCGCCCAGCGCACGAGCGCGCTGAAGGCGGCCGCCTGGGCACCGCGCGGCGGCCGCGCGCTCGGCGCGGTGGGCACCGCGGTGAGCCCTCGCGCGCCGCGTCCGTCCTCCGCCAAGGGCCTGATGTCGCAGTCCGCGAGGCCCTCGAGGTCGTGAGGCGAGTGACCGCCCTCCTCACGTGGCCAAGGTGCCGAGCTCCTCGACCCCGAACTGCATCCTGTCCTCGATGGCCCAGTCACCGACAGAGACGTTCTGGAACAGCATGGGGTACCCGAAGCGGTCGAAGCGGCCGAAGCTGGATCGGAAGCAGTCATCGAAGGCTCCCTTGTAGCAGCTCGGACCAGGGAAGCGACCAGCTGAGCACGTCCTTCGTCACCCACCTGGAGCGAGACACCGTGGCCAGACTGATCCCCGACTGTCCTCGGGGACGAATCCTCTAGGCGACGAATACCTCCCAAGTTTGAGGCCTGGCTACGCACCTTCCCCTTCGTCCTCGGACCCCTACGGTCCAGCGAGAACGTCGTCGAAGCAGAGGGGTTGGCGACCTTACCAGGCCTCGGGGCGAGAGGTCTCCCTCCGCTCTCGAGGTCTCTCGGGGCGAGAGGTCTCCCTCCGCGTGCTGGCAACTCCCTCGAGGACGTAGCGCAAGTCTGCAGGGCGTCGTCGTAGCTCTCGGAACTGGGGCGTTCACCAGCCTTGGGCCACAGACCGCGGTGGACTCTGGAGAGGTGCTCGCGCCCCATATCGGTCGGACTCTGGCATGGGACGAGGAGACCGCGGCCAAGAGCACGAAGGCCTGGCCAAGCGTAACACCCGCAATGCCAACAAATCCATACTCCGAGCGTAGTCTGGAACCTCATCATGTGCGTGGGGTGAGCTGCGTGGTCGCCGATGTGAACGAGAGCGGCCACAGACGGCGCGAAACCTGCCCATCCTTCTCCACAAGAAGCCAACGGGAAGCACGGAGACACCAGCCAGAGATCAGCACTGGAGTGGCCCGCAGACGTGTGACAGGCCAAACAACGTAGACCGTCATCGCTGAGGACGTGGCGGGATGCAAACGTGGCAACAGACCGCAGACGGGGAGGGACCTGGCGTGGACGACGACGTCGGCGGGGTAGACCACGAGCACGGAGAGTGGCGGCTGCTTGGGCATCCAGCGTGGCACGGAGGAGCCTCCAGCGGACCTGCGACGCCATGACCTCATGGGTAAAGAAGCGCTGGCGAGGTTCGTGAGGGACACGGGCAAGACCTGCAGCGGCCCCCGCCAAGATGTCGGCGACTGCATTCCCGCGTACCACCGCATGAGGGACACCTGCAGCGTGGGCGGCGGCTGGAGTCAAGTGAGAATTGACGTGCTCGACGGTGAACTCGGAGCGCGGGCGGGTGAGGAAGATCTGCTGCAACTCCTGCCACAAATCAGACTCCGTGCTGGACTGGTGGGGTGCGAGGTCCAGGCGAGCCCACCAACCTTCGCAAACCGCCAGGTTGTCCGTCACGAAAACCGTGGCCCCTGTCGAATACCGTGCTCCCAGTACCAGCGCTTGAAGCTCCCCTCGATGAACTGTCTGGGACTGGCCAGGGAGAGGACCAAAGAGCCCGCACTCGATGTCCACGGCATCATGCTGCATACGGCAAACGGCCACGCCAACTCGTCTCAACCGCGGTACCATGGAGTCACTGCCTCCACTCGCGTCTCCGAACAGCATGAGGGGAGCCTGAACAGACCCTTGGCCGAAGCTCCAGTCGTCGTCAGAGAGACCGATAGGTGTCCACTCGGGATGCTCGATCGGAGGTGGAACGTCGACCCACGGCGATGGGAGGAGGCCACGGAGCCAGAAGCATGGGTACGCGTCGGACTCGGCCACTGCTCGAGAAACTAAGTGACTGCTCATGCGGTACGCGGGAGAGTCTCTGTTGGCCTCGCACGTCCACATCCGATGAACAGGCGTCTCGACTTCATGCCCGCAACGAGGACAAATGCCATGAAATCCATCCCGTACGGAGTCAGTGTCCAGCAGGCGCGAACCTGGCCACGAGCCCCCTGCCGCGATGGAAACCATGAGCGGGGCCAAGTGCGAGTGGCGGGACCTCTCGAGAGAGCGAACCAAATGGCGATACGAAGTGAGGTCCGTGCCGAACTGAAGCCCCTCGCCGCACCAGTGGGTAGAGGCGGCCTCCCAAAGCTGCGCGAGGATGGAGGCGTCGAAGGCGCTGGTGAGCTGACGAATCTCACGGTCGGAGAGGGCGCTCGCGTCAGGGAAGGTCCAGCGTTCCCATGCTCCAGCTCCCAGATGACATACCCATCCGCACGGGCCGACGGGGTCCCAGGAGTACTCCATCAGCAAGGTCATGAGAGCGGAGATCGGGCCTCGAACGTGGCGATGACGCTGCGCCGACGGAGTGTCCCGCAGCTTGGCGTGGATAGGGATCCACGCTTGCTGGACTCGCCGCCGAAAGTCAGGGTCACTACGCCAGGCACGAAACCAGAGCTCCAGCTGTTGCCTGGCGAAACTGCGTGCGGGGTCGTGATGGTCGTGGCGTAGCTGGAGCACTGTGGTCAAGCACTTGCCGCCGCCGGCTGCGGAGCTGACAGCACCGAGGCGACGGCGAGCCTGCAACAGAAGGGACGGCGGGGTTCCGTAGACCTGGTGACCATAGCTGCCAGCTGCTTGTGGGGAGGCTCGCTCAATCCTGGCACACGTGGCGTAGCGCTTGCTGGCCCGAACGAAGCGGCGCACTCGCGCGTGCCCACTGGCGGCTTTCTTGAGGCGGGTAGTGCGTGTTGGTCGGCGAAGGCCCAGGCCAGCTCCCAAGTCAACTCCTAAGCACGGGGCGCACTTGGTGGCAGTGACGATGTGCCCACGGCTCCTGAGGGACTCCATGATGCGCCTGGCAAGCCCACGGCGATTGGCGATGATGACGCTCTTCGGCGAGATGGAAAGCCCGTCACCCTCGAACAGCGCACACGTCTCGTCCACGACGTGGGTGAGCGTCTGCTCCACGACGGTCTCGGTGCCCACGGCGGCCTGGGATAAGTCGTCGACCCAGATGCGTGGCGGTAGAAGACCCTGTGGACGCTGCCGAGTGATGGAGTCCAGGATGAAGTGGGTCAAGCAGCGGGCGAAACGAGTGCCCGACCGCAGCCCCTGGACGATGGAGCGGGACGGCTGGAACGCCTGCGAAGCTGCGCCATCTCGTACCAGTACGCGAGGAGCCAGACAGAGCTGCAGCTCGAGGGCGAGCATGGTGGGAGGAAATCCGAGCCGAAGCGCGGCGCGGCCGAGCTTGACCCAGTCCATGGAGTCGTAGAACGACTTCACGTCCAGCATGGCGTGAGCGTACGCGAAGCCCAGGGTGCTGTACGCTTCCTCGTCGGTCGCGCGCACGAAGGCCTCGAAGATGGCGGCATTGCCGCGGACGGCGGCGTCCCACGGGGGCGCACTCTCCTGGCTCCAGTCCTGCACCACTGGTTCGCGAGCCTGGCTCCAGATCCTGGTGATCATGCACATCAAACCAATGACACGCTCGCCACCCGACTTCTTCGCAAGAAGCTGGCCGACCACAATCAAAAGCTGCCAGGGCCAGCTTCCGCCGTGCTCGCAAGCCCGATACAAGCACAAGAGCTCCTCCAAGCCACAGTCAGGAAGCCGTTCGACATCCGTCGGCCGAAGTTGGTCTGCGCCTCGTCCTGCGCGTGGGCGCATGCGCCGCAAGGCGCTGCGTAGTTGAGCCACGTCGAGCTCGGGGAGATCGCCTTCACCAAGGAGCTGCCGTAGTTCACGCCAGAAACCGTCCACGAGCGACGTGTCCACCTGCGACGGCGCCCACAGCTCGTGCCAAGTGCGGGCCTTGAGGTCGACGAGGTCCTTCGGATGGACGAGGTGCAGGCTGCTTGTGGGGTCGAGGAGCTCGTCGGCCAGGACAGGCTGGCTCCTCAGCGTTCTGAAGAGCACCGTCGAACCCTGCGGCGTGACGATCCACTCCTTGAAAGACCTCAAGGATGCCCCGACAGCGCGACCTCGCCCTCGGCGAAGACACTTCTGCACGAGCTCCTCGAGATGCTCCAGGAGGTGGATGGGCGCGCGAAGCAGGGCGCGAAGTTCCCGCAGGAAACCATGCCACGATAGCCTCGGAGCGCCCTGACCAGCCTGAACAGGCCGCCGACGAAGAGCACCTCCGACGAAAGCTCGGCGTGCATGAGGTGGCGGATCCTGAGCGAGACGACGGCATTCAGCAGCTGCACGTCGACGTTCTGCCTCGTGACCAGGGTGGGAACACGCAGCCCGCGGCGTGCTCTTGGTGAAGTGCAGGATCTTGACGAGGAGCGTGTGCAGGGCGGCCCACCAGCTGAGCGAGGCCTCCTCGTCGGAGACCTCTGCTGCAATGACCACGGCTGGGGTCGCCACGGCACATTCACGAAGGCGGACGCCGTCCGCGCGGGAGGGCCCGTCACCAAATTCGGCAAGACGAGAGTGCCGTCGAAGTGCACCTTCAAGCTGCCTGACCCAGCGAGCGTAGTCCGCGCTGATACCGTCGATGGCCACACCGCCAACACGGTAGGCGTCCGACGAAGCAATGGGTGGCCAGACTGCCGCAGCAGGGGCGGGTACACCAGCTGCACGCAGCCAAGTAGACTCGGAGACCTCGAAACTGACGTCGTGGTCGAGCGACGGGGTGTAGGGCCGCTCAAGGTGGGGCGGGTCGCTGCGGGAAGAACCAGACTGTGATTGCCTCGCCCCAGGGCAAGGGAAGCCCCGAGACAGATCTCCGCCAGCCCAACTCTCCTGCATGCGATCCTGACCGACCTCGGGGTCCTCCTGCTCGAACTCGGGCGGCTCGGGCCAGCCGTCGTCGATGGGTATGGGAGCGTCAACGTCCGCGAACGGGTCGGCATCGGCATCGTCCATGGTAGATGTCCTTGGAGGGGCACCCGTGGAGGTTGAGCTCGAGGCCTGGCCAAGCTCACCGACCAGCAGCGGCGACGTCGCGTAAGTGGAAAGACTGCGTGTGTGAGGAGTACATGGAGAAGCCGAGGGAGCGCCTCTCTCCCTCGCGGGGGGCGCTGCAACCTCGGCTGTGCGTATGGCTCGACTCTCAACTGCGACAGCCCATGACTCGGAGTCATCGCTGGAGGAGAGGAGCTCGCCGTCGGAGGCGACGTCCGTGGACACGTCCGTGCGAGGCTCGCCTTCCCAGGTGCGACCAAAGGTCTTACCTAGAAAGTCTTCGCGACGTTCCCGAGCAGCTGCTCGCCGTAGAAGAGCGTCCTGGCGCTTGGCTGAAGACGTGGGCGGAGGCGAAGGTCTCGAGCAGGCGGGCAGGGGCTGAGGAACCACCAACTTCCGCGTAACCAACTGCTCTCCACGTCCACGAAGTTGAACCTGCAAGCCACAGTGAGTTTTCCATGGCACCGCCTGGATGTCGCTCATGGTGAGGATGTAGGGAAGACATGACGAGGAAGCGAGCCCGAAGTCAATGTGAGATCCTCCCTGGCCAGCTGCGCACGTGTAGTGGGCCGAGCTCTGGATGATGTGGCCGCCGACGCGGGTGACGAAGCCCGTGCGCTCCAGGGTCGAGGCCTCGATATTGAAATCGCCCATGACCAACCAGGGGAGCTGAAGCGCCGAGAGGAGTGCGCCGAGATGAGCGAAGCGGCGAAGGTTCGCCCCACTCCAGCCCACCGACGCGAAGGCGTAAAAGGCGATGACCACCACGGCGTAGCCCTTCATGTGCAGCACGCTGGCCTGGAAACCGTCCGAGGCGGCCGCGCTGGGGGCACGAAGATCGCGACACGAGTGAGCTGCAGCCAACATGTGAGTGTGCAGGTGTCGTCTCGTAAGCCACCATTCGCCACCTTCAGTTCCGCCAGCGCCAGTACTGCGGGAGAGATTCCCGTGAAGACGCCAACCAGCTGAGCGAGCCTTGCGGCTCCATTCATTGAGTGCGGACTCATTCCCCACGTGAGTCTCGACAAAGCCAACGTAGTCGTAACTCGAGCAACCCCTCTGAACGAACTCCCAAGCCTGCGGCCCCATCGCAGTGATGTTCGCGAAAAAGAGGTTGCGAGTCTGCCCGTCAGATGGTGCATCTCTGTTGACCTGAACCCCGTCAACGATGAGCTCCCCGTGAGATGCATCGCCACCATTGGTTACCCTTGTGGAAGCGCCTATGCAAGCAGCGGCTGACCCCGAGCAGTCGGCTGCGACTGCGTCTGCCGAGCTGACGGCGCGTACGTGATCAAAACTGGGCGGCTGAGAGGGCCTCGTCGCAGCCGCGCCAGCGGCGTCGCCCCACGCCGCTGGCTGCGCCTGGCGTCAAAGGTCGCGGTCCTCAGCGCCGGCTGCCGACGCCGAGGAGGGACCGCCTGGGCCCGCTGCTGGCGCTGGCGGCGTGGCTGAGGACCCAGCAGCGGAGGTGGCGGCGGCGGCCTGCTGCGCCGCGGCGAACTTAGCCTGGCTGAGCTTGGCGGCAGCGGCTGCCAGCGAAGCCTCGTCGGGGGACGAGCTCGCTCCAGCTGACGCGCCCGTGGCAGGAGGCGAGTCCTCGAAGCGCACCCGAGGGGTGGCCACGGAGCTCTCGGCAGCGGCCTGTCCAGCTGGCGTCCCGTCAGCGTCGCTCTTCCGCTTCTTGGCCATCCTCTGACGGCTCATGGCGGCGAGCTGCTTGGCCGCGGTGAGCTTCTCGCGGACCTCGCTCGAGTGCGACTGCAACAGGTCCTTCGCCGCGAGCAGCTCCTTCCTCAGCGCGGCCAACGTGGCCTGCTCGTCGGGATCAAGCTCGCAGAGGACGCCCTCGTCGAACACCGCATCGTCCCAGTGCAGGGAGAAGAGGTCTCCTGGCTCCGCTGAAGCCGCAGGCGCAGTCGCTGCTGGCGCGGTCGTCGAGGCGGGGCCAGCGACTGGTCCAAGCGCAGCGACAGCAGCAGCGGCCTTCTGCTTGGCGGCCTCCGCCTCGGCCAAAAGGAGGGCCACTTCCTTCTCACGGTTCTCGGCCAGCAGGAGCGCCTTCCTGCAGCGGAGAACTTGGTCCACGGCCGCCTGATGACGGCGATGGAGATCACGACATTCACCCGAAGCACGACGAAGAGCTGCGTCAGGCGATGGCGCCTTGGCGGGCTTGGCTGCCCGTGCCGCCGCCGCCTGTGCGCGGGCCTCCACCACCTTCATCGCGGCCAGCAGTTCGGGCGGCACAGGGCCTGAAGAGGCCAACGAGGCCACGCCTGGGCGCAGCAAGGCCTCGAGCGGGTTGCTCGCGTCGGCTGGGGGCGCTGTGGGAGCTGACTCGCCACGAGAGCGGCTGCCGTGCTGTCCCCGCGAGCGCGGCTGGGACGGCGGGCGGTACTGCGTCACGCGGCTCCCGCAGGCGCACTTCCAGCTCTGGCCGAAGAGGATGTCGTCGTACTCGCAGCGGCGGCACGTGGAGCACCGCGACCAAGGGCGAGCAGCGACGGAAGCCTGCTTCCTGCCCTGAGAAGAACTGGGACGACGCGAAGCCCCACGGCCCATGGTGCCCAGGAGACCTGAAGAGCGAGAAGCAGGCCTCCGATACCTTCTGAAGCGCCGAATCTGCACCGCACGCCGCCAGGCCCGTCAGGCCTATGGCGCGCGCGGCCCCAAGAACGCCTCGCGGAGGCTCGGCGCGGCCCCAGGGTCCCAAAATGGGACGCCAGAGCCAGAACGGTTCTTGAGGAGGAGGAGGAGGAGGAGGAGGAGGAGGAGGAGGAGGAGGAGGAGGTGGGGCGGACAGTGCGAGAGCAGTGGGGTTCGGGCCGGCGCTGCAGGCCTCTTCCTCGTGGTCGTTCGAGCGGGGGTCGCCCACAGAACTGTGTGGGCCCCACTGCCGCGGGATGACCGAGAAGCCCTGCGCAGATCATGATCAGGGAGTGCTGGGGACCTCGAGCTGCCAACGCATCTACTCCTCCTCCTCCTCCTCCTCCTCCTCCTCCTCCTCCTCCTCCTCCTCCTCCTACGTAGGCACGGCAACGGGTGCGGAATGCCAGTTCCGGTTCCCATCTAGGGTTCCCCTTGGGGCCGTCCTGTGCCGTCCTGGGGGCCTCTTGGGCTGTCTTGGGGCCCTCTTGGGCCGTCGGGGGGCACTCTTCGGGGCCTCTTGGTCCGCCTTGGGGCGACATTGGGGCCCCTCAGGACATCTTGGAGCATCGGGAGCCCGAAAAGGCGAGAACGTAGAAATCCGTCTAAGACCTCTGTGGGGAGCCCATGACTTTGGCCCCTATGGGCCCTCTTGGGGGCCGTCTTCGGGCCCTGCTGGGCGGTCCTGGGGCGCTGTTTGGATCCTGTGGAGCCGTTTCGAAGCCGTCTTGGGCCGTCTTGGAGGTCTGGGGCTCTCCAGAGCCTTTCCGGACGCCACCTGAGGCTCTCCGGGTACGCCCCACAGCTCATACCCTCAATCAGTCCCACGATCCTTCTCGCATGCATTTGCTGCGGTATTGTAAAGACGCTTACGTCGGGCTCCAGCTTCGTCTCCCACATCTCGCTGAGCAGCGCCAGAGCCCACTGCCACTGCCCGCGCTTCGCGCACGCGCTGACCCCGGCGCTGAAGCTGATGACGTCGCGCTCCAGCTTTCCCTCCCACATCTGACTGAGCACTGTCAAAGCATGTTGCCATTGCCCACCTTGTCTGCATGCGCTGACCGTCGCAATGTAGTGTGCTGGGAAGATTTGCACACCTAAGTGAATTCCTTCGCGGAGCAACTGCAGTGCTGCGATCCAGTTTCTTGCTCGACCACACTCCTTGATCGCCGCTACGAGTGGAGCAGCACCCTCTCGACAATGCCTAATATCCGAAGAGATGTAACACCGCGGCGGCATGCTCCGCCTCCTCCTCCTCCTCGAGCCTTGAGCCCCAATTGCCAAGGGAGGAGGGCGCAACCTCTAGAGCATGAAGTCAGTTCACCACATCAGCCTAGGATGCAGCCTCAACAGCGTTGCCAGGCATCTCGGACAGAGGGACCAGCGACTGGCCCTGTTAGTACCGAGGAGTGGGACGAGCAAGAGCAACACCTGATCTGAACGACAGGTTGACCAGTCTCGTGCCAAGCAGTCCAAATTACCAATATCGTGCTCAGTAGTCCGAGGAGGGGGTCAGCGCACCGAAGCTCAATGGATCACACTGGAAACAATACAACATACTCTATATCAGAAAATAAGCGGGCGGCGTAGAAGCGGGCGGCGGAGAAACAAACCTGAAACAGTCACTGACGTATCGAAAAGCAAGGCGGCGAGGCAACACAAACGAATGAAAATCAGATGGAGCTCCCCATACAACATTGGCGGCGAACCGGTTTGTAAACAGCACGGGGTTATTATGGCGGGCTGCGTTTTGCAATCAGTTTAGTAAAACTATCAGATACAACGAATGTAAAAACATTCGGAACTCACATCATCATACTGCTGAAATGAACACATGATATAGATGGGGATACCAATGGTCATGCAAAGGCGTGGCAACTAATTTGTTGTCCGCGATGAAAGGAGAGCGAATGGGGGAAGTGGAGGGAGAAAGGAAAACAGAGAGAGGAGCGCGGAGAATTGAGTAGCAAGGGGGGGCGTGCCAGGCGGCCCCCCTTGGCCTTTGGGCGACGGTCTTGGCCGGAGCCAGGCACGCAGGGAAGCTGAAGCCACGCCCGCGGATAGGCGGTTGCTCCTTCGGGGAACGCTTGACCCCGCTCACCTGCCGCCCGGCCAGATGGCCCTGGTGGACTCGGTGGACTTCACGGACGTCGCGGCCCAGCCCGTCGGATTGGACTTCATGGCCTCCTCGCCTGGCAGACCGCCTACGGAAATGTTGTCTACCGCGAATGTGGCGAATGTGATGTCCTGGCAGTCTACGCAAGCAAAAACGACGGCCAGGAGAAAGATTTGGCCGACCCTCTCCAGCGTCTGGCTTCCGAGCGTGAATCTGACCATTAAATACACTGCCGAAAAGGCCAATTATCACCTCGAAGAGCACGGGGAACATGGCAGCGGTAGCACCGTTTTCGTAAGTGTACTGGAGGAGGTAGGCGCAATGGGCAAACACCAGCAAGGACACCGCCAATGCCCAACTTTCGACGAATGGGAACAAGTCGGGCGTGGTAGGGTTGACGCCGCCGCTGATCGCAAGGAGGATGACGATCACGACAATGCTGGCGGTTCCTATTAGATACTTCAGGAAACCATGGTTGTTCATATACTCGTGGATCGCACGAGCGATCACGTGCAAGGTGAGGGCGGCGCAGCACATGGTGAAGCCGACGGTCACGACGCCACCGCAAGGCTGGATCTTGACAGCGCGGTTGAGTTTATACTGAATAGGTTCCTCCTCCCTCTTCTCGAAAGCGAGATCGGACACTTTGGTGTTGATCCAGACGGCGATTGCAAAATTGAGAGCATGGATCACCGCGGCGAGTTTCAGCGGTTGGTTGACCCAAAACATGAAGCGGTCGACCGATGTATTGAAGTCTTCTGGGACGGCGAGAGGCCTTTGCGACGCGCCAGGCGGCGTCTGCCCCTGGTACGTGAAGCACCTGCACCTAATCTCCAAGCTTTTCAGAGGGTTCACAAACCCATGCGTCCATGAGAGCATGAGAGCAGCTGCATTCCGAACTCCCCGAAGAGCAGCGGGAAAAAAGATCTCGAGCTCCGGAAGATGAGCGCCCTCCATGTTCCCTATTGTCTGCTCTTCGTTTCTGGAAGTGGCCCTGCCAGTCTCGGAGTTGAGAAGAAGAGAAACCGATCCGTCATGCCAAATGTCTCTACCAGAAACCCAGCCGTGTAGAGGCTCGCGCAACCAATGTAGCGCGCCTTCCGGAGCGCAGCGAAATGTTCGACGGGCATGACCTGAGGTACATGGGAGAACACGAATAGCCAAGTAGGGGGAGGCTGCGCCCCAAAACTGAGGCCGCCGCCGGCGGGCATGTCAACGCGGGGACGAAAGGGAAATGGAATAATAACCTGATGCCGCTGGCGCACGTGGCGATCAGAGCGCGCGCGATGCCCCTCATGAGCGCCGCCCGCACGAACGCGGCGACGGCAAATGTCTGGACGAAGCGGATGTTCTTTGTGAGGAATGTCTGCACGACAAAAATCTCTGGGACTGCCATCGAAGACGCTGCAAGGATGATGGGGTTCCGTGCAGCCGCCAAATGGGGCCACGCTTCCACGCTGGTTTTGCGATTAAGAACACGCACGCGGCGGAAAATATGTAGCCAGCGATTGCCGCGCTGACGGGGGGGGGGGGGTCCACAAGCTTTCGGGGGCAAAGGGAACGGTTCGAGTCTGCATTGGCTGGGAGGGATTGTCCTTCTTCTGAACCTCCAACCCCGCCTCCTCGCCTGGCGCCTCGAACAGTCCCAGGCCCTCAAGCTTGACCCCGATGAACGCGGCGTTGCAGAACGCATGCGCGGAGAGGGCCCTCAAGAGCACGGCGAAAGCGCCAGTCTCCTCGACCGTGCCCAGCTGCGACCAGGCGTCAAACAGGTGGTCGAAGATCCCGCGCAGGAGACGGCCCAACACGATGGATCAATACGACTTCTAAGTCAGGGTCAAGTCCGCGCGCGCGAGGCTCCAGACAGCGATCAAACTGCCGAGAGGCGCGCGTTCGAAACACAAGGCAAAGCAGAGACGCTGTTCCTTGTTTTCATAGCTGGAACATGCAGAACCCTAGGACTGCGCTGATGAACAGCGTCGGCAAATGGAGTCGCGCGAAAGTCTTAGGCATCCAGTCGTTGAAGATCCACGGCGTCGCCGTTCACTTGCCGCAGCAGCTCGGCGCGACGTATCTTGAGGATGCAGACCCGAGACCGCGCGCCGCCAGCCCCGCTGGCGAGGCTCAGCGAGAAGAAGACAAACCCAAGCCCATCTGCGAAGAGATCGCCCACAACCAGAAACATGAGGAAGAGGAATGAATGAATGAGCGAGGTATGCCAAAAGGCGGCGATGCAACCGAACAATCAAAAGAGAGCGCCCCCATCCCCCTCGCCCCCACAGGCCCCGCTGCCGACTCGGTCGGGGCGGGCCCGGGCCCCCAGAACGGGGGGGGTCGCCGTCGAGGCCGCTGTGCGCCAGGGGCCGACCTGGCGTCAACCCTGGCCCCCGCGGCGGACGCGGCCGAAAGACCGCCCGCCGGGCGGGGGCGGGGGGGGGCTCGGCTCGAGCATGGCCGCGGCCAAGGCTGAAAAATCCGAAGCCGAAGGGCGCCCAAAAGACACGAGACTCCACCCGCGATCCTTCGACAGCCACGTCGGGCAAGCGACCGCACGGCGCCCCAAGCGAAGGCCCCGCAAGCCAGGCTGCGCACCAGTCTGGGCCCAGCGAGGACAGCGGCTCCAATTTCGTCGCGAACCGAAGCTGTGTCAGGTCTCCAAGCTCGGGGTCGGCGGCCGCAAGAGCTTCCGCCGAGAGGGCGCCGCTGAACGCCATCCAAGCGCCGGGGTTGGCGGTCAGCCCAGCAGGCCTCGCCGATCCACCCGGCCGGAACCTCTCGCGGGGCCCAGAGGAGTCACGCCAACCCCGAGTTGACGCGAGAACGCCCAGTCGCCCCGCCCACTGGCCCAACTCCCGCCCAACACATTTTAGGCCAGCGACTTGTGAGTCAGCCCCATCCACGCACGAACGGGCCGCGGCTCCTTTCGTAGCGAACGAGTCCGCTTCTGCGCTAGCTCGGCGTTCCCAGAAAGTGGTGCGACCTCTCCGCGCATCAGCCTCCAAGCAGTGGGCATTGGTCTGGCGCGTGGGGGCGCTACCATCGAACGCCGCGTGTAACCTGCCCCGCGCGCGCTCGACCGCACTGGGCTGACGCAGACTTCGCCCTCGAAAGCGCGGCCCCCACGGCGCCTGAGAAGTTAGACCTTGCGGCCGCGGCCCCGAACGCGAAAAGAGGCAGCATGCACAAGGCGCGGCCCTCTCAATCGCTCGCGAGCTGGAGAAGGGCAGCGCGCCAGGGCACGGGCCCGAAGTCCGCGGCGATGGCGCGCCCGAGGTCATCGACCACCGCGACGGCCCAGCCCCCGCGCCCGAGCGCAGCATCCGCCGGGCGCGAGGCAGACCCGCCAGTGAAAATCTCACCAGGCAGAACGCCGTCGGGGGGGCGTTGAAACCAGTTGATCTCGCAGTCTAGCCGACCAACTTCCCGCGACGACCATGCAAATCTGCGGTGGTAGAGAGTGCCAACTACCTCCCCGCGCACCTGACAAAGATTGGCGCTAGCCAGGCCACGTCGATGAATCCTGTCCTGAGACGAGCGCACGCCTGAGACGGCCGCTCTCGAGCTGTCCTGCTGCGACTTGCCCCGCGCGGGGGTCCTGCGAGTGAGCGGAGGCCGAGCGGGCGCCGGAAAACAGGCCTAGCCCAAGTGCCCGACCTCGTCTTGGGGGCTCGGTAGTCCGACGTCTCCCGGGAGGCCTGCAGCGCCGAGCCGGCCGCGGCGGAGGGCGATAACATGAGAAATCAATCTTCTTCCCGCCCCCCGTGGCCAGCGCGACGAAGCGAGCGGGGCGCGCAGTCCAGCCCAGGTCTCCACGCGCAAGACGACGCGCGTGAGCAGGCGACGTCGCGCGACTCCAAGGCCGCCCGGCGCTGGCCAGCACAAGAAGCACATTCTCAAAGACAACTTGCAGGATGGAGATCTTCGGGGTTCCACCCCGAGCGGCTCGGGCCCATCCGAGGACCACTTGCCTACAATGCGACTGCGTGGGGTCCGTCTCATTTCCCGAAGTAATTGGGCCTAACTTGAAACCTGCAGAGGCCCCTTTCTTCCCGGGGGCGAGAGACAGCAGGGCCTGGTTGCGGGGCTCGTGGAGGCGGCACCATGGCGGCCCTTTAACCGCGCAGCCCCGAAGAGCACTGGCCTGTGGACCAGCGCGACATATGGGCACGGTGGAGGCCTCAGCCCTACGAAGCCTACGCAGCCGAGACGCCCGCCCAAGGCTCACCGAGACCCTCTCGATGGCGACTGGGGCAAGCCTGCTGGGGCCCACTTGCCAGTCCGCCCGAAGACTCCCAATGGTTCCGAGGCGTCGGAAAGGCTCCTTCCATAGACCAGGGAGCCCCGAGGCCACTCTCTCACTGGTCGAGGAACTCCGACTTTTTCTCGGACAACACCAACCGCAGGGATCGCAGTCCATCCACCAGCTTGCCCCCAGCAGCACCCAATTCAGTGATGACGTGGAAGCTGGCCCCAATGGACTGAAGAATGACATCGTCGATGACGTTCCTGACTTTCCACCGACGGGCGCTGCGCGGCGGTGCCGGCCAAGAGCCGATGCGCCGAGACTCGTGCCAGCGCGGTGGCTAGGGAGCCCCCCGCCAAAATAATGCCAGAAGCATGTGCAACTGACGAACAGCAGCCCGTGTGTTACTGGTGATCATCGGACCCGAGTGCAAGACGCACGCAGCGCGAAGAAGCCGAGGGGTAAATATGTGGCGGCGCCCTCCTCGAAGAAGACGCAGCTGCAAACTCTTCCGCGCAAATGTTCCAGATCCGTCGCCAACGTGGCTGCCTCCAAATTGCGTGCATGAGCGTAGTGCACCAGAACCGGATGGACCCATCCAGCTCTGTCGCACTCTTTGTCGCGTTGGGCCATGTCTCGTCTGATTTTGCCCCCCCCCGCCTTCAGCGCTGAGCTAGTGCGAGCTATGGGGCGTGCGCCTGATCCATCTGGTTCGGAGAGAAACGCCATTGCCGTCGGCCACTGGGGCGAAAGCTGAAGTGCTGCTGCCCAACGCATGATGAGGTCGGCCAGCCGTTCCATATGGTCATCGTCACGAAGGTCGAACGTGCGCGGATTGATGCAGTCCTCCCATGAGCCAGCGGGGGCCTTGAAGGAGCGGAAGGCTCGGCGGACACTTTCGAGCGAGGGCAGCTCAAGGCGCTGAGCCTCAGCTGCGTCCTATGGTGTCTGATCTAACCCCTGTTTCGAATCATCCCAGACTCCAGGTGGATTCCATGTGGTCTACTGCTTGGTCACCTTGCAATGGTCAGCCCTCCTGAGCGACGGGCCTAGTGGCCATGGGGGAGTACTTGAGATATCTGTGGGCCTTGCGGCCCCCGTGCTTGACTGAAGCCCGTGCCAAGTCCCGCCCGTCCTGCAGCTCTGCTTTGGTGGCCAACGACGAAGCTTCCTTGGCTGCGTTGTCCATATCGACGCACAGCGTGTCGAGGTCGCCGCCGCCAGCTAGAACAGTGTCGTGAATGCTGTGTTCAGTTCAGTAGCTGTCAATGCCTGTCAACTGCGAGAAATCCATCGAATCGAGCTGCTCTATCATCTGATCTAGCGCCCACTGCTGGTCACCAGCCGCCACGGAGCCACGGCGGCTCAGCCCCTCCTTCAGGGGGACACAGCGAGGGCGGACCTCCGCGGCTCCGGTCAGAGACCTGACCTGCCTGGGAGGGGTGCCGGAGCTGTGGGAGATGCACCACGGCGGCTCGGCCCATCCCCAGTAGTGAGCGTGACCTGGTGCTGGGATGTAGATATAGACGTAGGTGGGCCACCGCGGCTCTGTCCCTCCTGCAGGGGGCCACAGCGGCGGCGAAACTCCGCGGCTCTGGTCGGATACCTGACCTGCCTGGGATGGGCGAGCGTCTCCTGGCCGTGGGATGCGGAAATCGTTGAGGTAGCCTGCCCCATCTCGTCCTCCTGGCGACAGTCCGAGGTAGACCTTAAAGCAAAAGAGGCCACATGCATGTCCTCCACCAGGGCCCACGGTAACTGTTGGAACGAGGATGCCTGGGTGTAGTCAGGTACTTAGTGGGCCCCGGAGGCGGCAGGGTCGTTTTTTTTGTTCCACCGTTTCCAAACATATGGCCCTTGAAAGTGGAAACGGCAAAAAACAGCGACTGGAAACGACAAAAAAACGGCTCCAGGACTGAAGCTGGAACCGGAAACGGTCACAAAACGGCGACGGAACCGGTAAAAAACGGGCGTCGGAATCAGCAAGACAACTGCAAAACGGAACCGGTAAGAAAACGGCCCTGTCGTTTCCAGGACCCACTAAGGTCAGGAAGCCCAAAGCGGGGGGCTGCGTCCGCACTCTCGGTTTCCTGCACCGCTGTAGAGATCAATCCTTGTGCCCGACGTAACACACGGAACATGGTGACAGATAGTGAGTGTCAGGCCCGCATAGCCGATCCGTGGCCAACATGCTTAGCCGACTTCAAGGTGTCTGCCAACTGTATCGTCTTGCTGCTGAAACCCACAGCGCGCCCCACGTATGGTTTGCGACCTTGCTCGGCCAAGTCAAATTGCCTGCCGAGGTCGTCCTCTGCGTTGGTGAGCCAGTCTCCCCAAGAGGAGGAGGAGGAGGAGGAGGAGGAAGAAGAAGAAGAAGGTACGTCTTGTCGGGTCCCGTCCCCCGCGTGATCGTGGCGCGCGTCGCCACGGCCGCCGCGAGAATGAGGCTCGCACAAGCCCAGAAGAACCTCGTGCCGCTCTTGACGTCAAAGCCCGTGTCGCCCAAGTGGCGGCCTGGTTCAGCCGCCAGCGCGACAGCCGGCTGCCCCGGCATGCCGAGGTTTGCCTCTTTGACCAGTAGGAGGGGTGCGCACACCGCAAATGCCAACAGCAACACGGACCTCTCCATCGCCATTGCCCGCGGTTTACTGCCCTTCTGACGATGAGGGGGGACGCCCGAGTTGGGCTTGACAGTACATTGCGTCCTCTTGAATCTGAGAGATCCACTTGCGCCCAAACTGCTTGAGCCCAGAATGGCGACGGAATTGCCAGGGGAGGAGGCGGAGGCGGAATGGGAAAACGACGAATCTCAAGTGATACGTGAGGGGTGGGGAAGGGCACTCCAACTCCCTGGCTACCACGCCCCGCGCGCCCACACGAGGAGCAGGAGGAACACGATAAGCAGGGCGAGTGCTGGCGCAGCGACCGCCCGCAGGCTCTGACGCCCTGACGCTCTCCACGCTCTCCCCGGGGCGTGCCGCCCCTGGCGTGCCTGACGCTCCTGGCGCTCCTGTCGCTCCTGGCACTTATGACGCTCCCGACGCCCCGGCCGACCCGAAGAGCGCCAGGAGCGCCAGGAGCGTCAGGAGCGCCAGGAGCGTCAGGAGCGTGAGCAGCGTCAAGAGCGCCAGGGGCGACAGGAGTGTGAGTGGGTCTACGGAGGCGTCGGAGGCGTCAGGGGTGCCGGGACCAAAAGGAGCGCCAGGAACGTCAGGTGCGTCAGGAGTCAGGAGCGTCAGATGCGCTCAGGGGCGCTAAGGGCGTCAGGAGCGTCAGGAGCGCCAGGAACGCCAGAGGAGGCCCGAGGCCAACTCATAATGATCGATGGCATTACTATTCGAGACTCGCTAGACTCGAATTCATGACAGTTGCCTGGTTTTTGATCAGGACGAGTCAGGGATTTGATAACAATGGTCTTCAGATGAGTTGCAGGAGGAAGAGGACAGGCGAGGCGCGAGGGTGAAAATAATGATGCGGGGAACAAGGGTATGATGTACGAGGGAGGTCAAGGTAACATACACATTGATTACCAGGAAGACGCAGGTATCATTTCATCCGAGGGCGGTTTCGGTAACGCATGAAGGCTGAGCAATCTCGTTTACTTCGATGTTTCCAAAGAGCGTCGGCCTGGGAGAATCCTACCAGCCCTTTAGGGCGTGAGTGGTTCGGAGCGTTTCCTCTTCCAGCCCCCCTTCTTCCTCTTTGGGCAGGGGCTTACCCCTCCCCCTACTCCCTCCCCATGGATCTGGGCGGGGCGTTCCACGACGAGTTGGAGCGTCGAAGATGGCCTCGGCGAGGAAGCCAACATCACTGATTCGACTAAGGTTTCGGCCACATGTTGACCTCCCTGGTGGGGGGGCTAATGTTCTACGGCCCCTCCTCTGATCGATCTCCTCCACGATGGCCTCAAGAAGGCCACATCCGTATGGCTTGGCCTGGTGCGGATCCATACGCCTGCCCCCCCGGGTCAGACTGCTGTGGGTCGCACTATCGTGTGGTTGCTCCCCAGTGCACTTTAATAGAAAGGCTTCATCACTGGTCATCAGGACTGCGTGTTCTTAGATTCAGTTGTTGCTGATTTTGCCATTGTCCCGCATGCGGTTCGTGCATTCATGCTTGGGGTCGATCGACGTGAGGGTGATCCACCACATCTGCACCAGAACACACACCACGCACAAATGGTCCCCCACACATTTGCACGATTGGGTCCACGCGGTCGCATCATTTTCGAACCAACGTGCACCAAATGCCTGGCTGCGGTGCTGTACGAAACGCTGCCGAGGCACTGGGCTCCAAACCAAATGCTAACTTACGTTGGTTCCAGGAGTTCTCTGTCGGTGTCCCACCAGCATGCTGCTCTACGTAATCACTTCCCTCGGCGGCAAAACCTCGCTGACACGATGACGCGCCAACGCCGAGAAGTCCCGGTATGCGAAAGCAAGGCCCATTACCATGGTTTCCCCAACCAAGTTCTCAGCCGTTACATGCAGTTCTTCCCAACTCCCAGCCACGAACAGCTCAACAGATGGCGCCCCGTCGATGGAGAAGCTGGTGATGCCAGAATCGATTGCGTCTGTCACGTGCGACCGTTGCTCGGCACCATGGTCCATCAAGAACTTCGCCACGATCTTGTAATGTGAGGCTGGATAGGTGAGGCACATGAACCCATCACTTGCCAAACTGAACTTATGGTGCGGCTGCACGGTAGCAGGTATCTTGACGCTGCTTGCCATCCGCGCAGATTTCCACACGGGCAGTGCCCGCAGTGGCGTCTTCGCCCAGGACAGCATGTAATCAATTTGCCGCGGCTGAACACCTCGAGTGCACAGAGAAGTTTGAGGCAAATGGCTACGACAGCATCCTCGGACCCATTTTTGGCGCTCTCTTGGGGATTCGTGGGTCCGTCATGGGACCCCCAAGCACATTCCAAGAGCAACCCTGGAGCCATTTTGGCATGCAAATACGTGAACACGAAACATTCACAAACCAATATGTGTCGATGTGTTCTGGCTTGTCGACGGCCATCCGAGGCCCAACTCATGGAACCTCTGGAGCCGTCATTGGGCCTCTTGTGCCGTCCGCACGCCTGTTGAACCCATCTTGGGTTGTCTTAGGGCGGTCTTCGCCAATATTGCGATCCTTCTGAAACCGTCCCTGGATGTTTCGAGGCAACGTTGGACCCACTAAGAAGTGCGGAAGAGAAATCGTGGCGATACATCGCGCTACGGTTCCGAACTTTGTGACGGAGGGGACGCGATCCTGACACTCAGGGAAAGGAGAATCCGAACTGAATATTGTTGCCCTGGGCGCAAGGTGGCTGGATGGAGGTGGGTGGTGGGTGCAAGGATCACAAGAATTATGAATTTGGAGGGAGAGGGAAGGCGGCAAAACCACGCTGGGTCACCTCAATTATCATGAAATGCGGCATCCACCTCGTGTTACAAGAGCACCAACAATTGCCAGAGCCCCAAAGATGGACAAAATTCAAAGCAAGAGGCCCCCTGGGACAGCTACGAGACGGCCCAAGAGGGCCCCAAGACGGCCCCAAAGGCCTCCCAAGAAGACTGGGACCCGCACAGGAAGGTCCGACTAGTGGGAACCCAAATTGAGATTTAAAACCATTTCCCGACAGACGCCCCCCCCCCCCCCCACACCACCAGAAAGACCCCAGGAGGGCACCAAGAGACCTCCAAGAGGCCCACGAGAGGCCTCCAGAGGCCCCACAGACCCCCCCAAAAGCCCCCAAGAGGCCCCAAAGATGCCCCCAAGAGGCTCCATGAGGCTCCAAGAATACACCTGCGCACACGCAGACAAGTGCCAACGATCTTGCAATAAGACCCGAAGAGGCTCCAAAGAGACGGCCCATGAGGGCATAAAGGGGTGTCCAAGAAGGGCCCAGGAGGGGGATACGAACAGCCATTTCGAGCCCTCTGCCCCGAGACGCCCATGAATGCTCGCGCAACACTTCAAGGAACCGGCCAGGCCCATCAGTAACGCAACGGCAGCGAACACGCGAGCAACCGCCCGCGATGAAACAGTCTGGGCCGGCGAAATGAGCGAAGCGAGTCAATTCGGCGGGCCCCCTGCAGACCCTCGCCGTGTGCTGCCGCCGAGGGCAGGACACTGGGATGACTATGACGTCGAGGCTGCTGCACTGGCAGGCGCCATGCATGCTAAGAAGGGCCTCGCCCGTCCCGCTGACCTCACTATGGCATGTTCCGTGGACGCACGGGACACCTCCTGGAACATGTGATCACGCGAATGAGATGCGCTCCCATGGCTGCGAAGGCCTTGCTTCGGCGCGCCCGTCACGCATTTCCTGCGCCCCCAGGCACCTCAAACGCGGACAACAACAGAGATTCGCAGAGCAATTCTCACAGGAGCCGCAATCCGGCACGCCTCTCACGCACGTCGTGCATCACGGGAGCTCGGCGGGCTCCCAAACCTGCTCCTTTCGGGGATGGGCAGACCTCCCTTTAGTAAAACGTGGTTTAGTGAAAACGACCTCGGGCCCAAACCTGGCGGGCGCAAGCCTGATGACGGCCGCGGCGCCCTCTCGAGAACCGAAAACGGACAATTCACTAATCGACGTGTCACTGTTGGGGGTTCTGTCCACCCCCGACCCTTGGGGCCTCCAACTGGCACACCCCTCAGACATTCGGTGCCGCAAGGACCTCAAGGGGCGAGCCGCTGGCCCTCAGGACGGCTGAAGTGACCCTCAATGTTCGCACTGCGTGCCCCCTGGACTCCCATGGGGCCCTCAGCTGGCCCCCCACGCGGTTCAGGGGAGCTTCGGGTCAGCACGCCCCGCACGCACTTCGTGGCGCACGGACCTTCGACCCCCCCCCTGTTGGCTCCGAAGGCCGCCTGCTCCCCGAAGGGATGCCACGATGACGATGGCGATGATTGATGATGCTGCTGCTGATGATGATGATGCTGATGAAGATTATGATGGTGATGCTGATGTTGATCATGATGCTGCTGAGTACGATGATGACGACGATTATGATGCTGATGATGACGATAATGATGATATTGCTGAAGAAGGACATGCATCTGATGACGATGCTACTGGTGGTGATGATGGCCCTGAAATACTGTGCAACGAGCGGTACCGACCCTCGCCGAAGCCATATATCCCGAGCACCCACTGACGTTTTTTTTGTTCGGCGTTTCGACATTGGGAGGAAGGGGGGGGAGGGGGGGGGGTCTGGCTCCGGACCTCTGCTCAGTGCGACTGTTTGCAAGAGTGCGGCCTCTGGGAGGAGACTCCACCGCCCGAAACAGGCGCCAAACAACAGCGAAAATCTACTCCAATTGGGGGGGGGGGGCGAGGGCCCGCGCCGATCGGCAAAACAAGGAACAAGAAAAACGACCACCCGCGACGCCCGTGTGCGTGCTTCCCCCCCGGGGGGCCCCGCCGTGGCTCCCGCCAGCCGCGGGCTCCGTGCGGCGCCCCCCCCTCCCTCCCCCCCTTGGCGGGCCGGACGGGGGGTGCATTTACACCTTGGCGCCCCTGTTGCTCATGCGGGATGACGATTGATAAAAAATGGAAGATAACGATAAAACATATTTTTCTGCCATGTCTGCACAACTTCCTGGCTGGAGGAGAACAACCAAAAATAGTTTTCCAGCCCTCGGCCGGTTTTTTCTAATCGTCATCTTGGGCGCCGCCGCGTGAACACGACCCCCGGTCATCTATTAATCGTCATCCTCCATCAGATACCGCGCGTTGCTGCAAGCAGCTAGTGAGTGCCGCACCAGCTAGTGAGTGCCGCACCAAGTGGGTGCCGCACCAAGCGAATCCGAGCGCAGTTCCAAAAATCCCCTCGGCGGACCCTCTCTCCTCGCCTCTCCGTGCCGTGCGCTCCAGGCTGGGGGCAGAGCCGGCGAGGCGCCGACGCCGTGGCGGCGGGCGGAGGCCTCGCACACGCCGACGGCCCGTCCTCCTGGGCAGAACTGCACCGTGCGAGCGGAAGATCCTGCCCCTCCTCCTCCTCCTCCTCCTTCTCCTCCTCCTCCTCCTCCGTCTCCTCCTTTTCCTCCTTCTCCTCCTCCTCCTCCTCCTCCGCCTCCTTCTCCTCCTCCTCCTCCTCCTTCTCCTCCTCCTTTATGCTCCCAGCGCTGGGCTCACGCGCGTGGCAGCTCCCGGAGCACGCGAGAACACGAACGAGATGCGCCGTGAGGGCTGCGAACGGCTCGTCGCGTCGCACCCCTCCGGGCGTACCCACCGAACGTGATCCTGAGACGCGCGAACAGACGGGTGTGCAACACCTCCGTGGCCACGACACCGTCATGTCGGCACGCCCCCTCGTGCAGGTCCTGCTCCACCCTCTACGGGAGCACGCACGTGAACATACAGTGTGCGGCGCCGTTCGGCGCGTCCTTTGCGCGGCGCCAGCCTTCAACGCGCAGTTTTTGCGGCGCCGACCGTTTGGGCAGGGTGTCCCTCTGCAGGGGTCGTTCGGCCGTCCGCGCCAGGGCGCCCAACAGCGCAAAAGAAAATGCGTTGGCACACAAACACCTCCATTTTTTGGTCACCCCTGCGCCGCCCCGAAGGCACTTCAAGAGTGCCTTTGGCGCGCGCGACCGTGCGCGCCCCGAGGCCGTTCCGACCCCCTGTTGGATGCCGACCTGGCCCCAAGAAACATGGCAACGATTGGTGCCGACCCTCGTCGAGGTAATTTCCCGAACACCCACTGATTGCAACATCCGCGTGCAAACATCCCCCTGCTCGCCATCGCTCGGACGTCCATTCCTCGTGTATTTGTCGATTTCGTGCGTGTTTTTTTTTCGCCAAATGATCAAGGATGGTCCTCGATGGCCGTCGCCAAGAAAAAGATGCACACGTCCGAGCGATGCCAAGCCTGGGGACCCGCCGTGGCTCCCGCCCTGCGGGCTCCACTCGGCGGCCCCCTCTGCGGGCCCCCGCCGTGTCAACACTCGAGACAAGAGGATGCTATTCCGAACGCTTGGCGGATGGTGTGGAGCAGGCGTTAGGCATGCTGAGAGGGGCTTCGCGGATTCCGCAGCTCGGTTCTCTCTAGACACTGTTTTGATCTGCGGGGCGAGAGCGAGCCTCTTCCGCTAAAAGCTGGGCGGGCTACGCGCAGCTTTAATAGGGAGACAGGGCGCAGGAAGGCGGGGCCTCAGGCGGCCGGAGCAGGTGGAGCCCGGGGTGCAGGCGGTGCAGCCCGGGGTTCTCTCTAGACACGTCAGCCACGAGTAAGATGCGCCCCCGGGGCCACGAAAGCCTAGGATCGGCACACCCCTCACGCGGTCCCTGCCTGAGTCGGGCCAGGGGCGGGAAATGCTACGAGTGAGCAGCGTCTTCGTGGCTACGGCCCTGCCCTTACGGCGCACCCCTCACGAACGTTCTGCTCCACACTCTACTGGGACAAATGAAAAAGAGTGGCCTGCGTTCCGGGGGCCAGGGAGGGCTCAATTCAAGGCACATCTCATGCATTTTTTGTCCCACACTGGGGCACGAGACGACGTAAGTGATCTGCGTTCTAATGCTCCAGGCTCCTGGGGTATGCCTAATAATGGTTTGAGCCTCGAAGCCCGTGGGCGACGTGCAAATACAAACGACTCGCCCTTCAATTTTAACGGGAAACTCCATTCGGCACACCCCGAACGCACTTCGTGAATGTTGGGCGCTCAGCTGACCCCCGAGACGGCTCATTGGAGCCTCAATTCGTTATACCCCTCACGCACGTCGTGCCCCATGGACCCCACAAGGCCGCTAGCTGGCCTCCAAGACCGCCTACTCCCCAAGGGACGTAACCACAACCCACACAAACATTGCAACGATTGGTACGTACCGATCTTCGTTGAGACAACCTCGCCATCGCTCGGACGTCCATTCCTCGTGCATTTTTCGATTTCGTGCGTGTTTTTTTCGCCAAATGATCAAGGATGGTCCTCGATGGCCGTCGCCGAGAAAAAAAGCACACGTCCGAGCGATGCCAAGCAAGATCCCGAACACCCACTGGTTGCAACCTCTGCGTGCAAGCTTCCCCCCCGGGGGGCCCGCCGTGACTCCCGCCCTGCTGGCTCTCTGAGATTATCCCAGAGCCCCGAGCGAGAGCAACAAGACAGAGGGTAAGACAAAGCAAGGCATCTTACAGGGCAGTTCTTAATGCACAGGATTTCTGTTTTTAAAATATGATTTTCATAATGCTTAATTTATGAATAAATGTATGCATGAACTCGTCGTTGCTTTTGAAACTAAACCCCTTTATGTTTAGTACATGATCCGCACTCGGAGCATGTATTAAAAACGGCACTGTACTCATATATCTTGCGTTTGCACGCATCGTCCGCCGACCTCCCCACGCCGGAAGTACAGCAACGTGTGAGGTACACTGAAGTAGCCATCCTCCTGCTCGCACTGTGCCCATCCAACACAACCGTGTTGTTCTAATCGCATGGCCCCCTTCATGCCTGCCTCCGCCGTTTCCCAACACTTGGTGGCTGCTAGAGCTGCTGGCCAAACCTCTTGAGGATTTCTGCGAACCCTCTCGTGCCGCCTGTGACCCATCTGGCCCATCTGACACCCTCCGCTCTGTAAATGGCAACGTCTTCCTCCAACTGGCCTCCCACAATCTCCACGTCCTTCAAACGGCGTTTAAACGGTGCGGCACTCCTGAAGTCTATCCGGCCACGTTGGCATATCTCCAAGGACCCTCGGGCCGTCCTGAAGCCCTCGCGGACCTATCTTGAGCCGTCTGGCCGATCTTTTGGCGCCCTGGTATGCCGTCGTAAGCGCGCCCAGGGTGTCGCTAAAGCCCCGCCTGAGGCTCCAGAATTCACTCATGTTTGATCCTCCCGGCGTCTCCGCATCTTTGCCTTCAGCTTTCAATTTCCGACGCCTGTTGATGCCCTTCGATGTCGTTATCGGAGCCTCTTGCGGCCCTCTTGGGCAATCTGTCGCGTCTCTTTTGGCCCACCAGCGCCGTCCCCCCTCCCCACCCCGGCAAACTCCGCGTTCCGAACAGGTGGGGCGGCGGTGTTTGCCTCCTCGAGGACGCTCAGCTGCAGAATCCCAGCAGCTCTCTGGGCGTAGGTGGTCTAGGGCCGCTCCTCTTCCAGCCCCCACCCTTCCCCGAAGGGTTAATCACTGTTCCTTACTTACTAATATACACCCACTCCCCCACCCCGCCGGCGGCCAACCTGGAACCATGCCGACTCCATGTGGGCCCTCCCCCCAACATCCCTGTCAGAACAAAATGCAAACCGCACTCTGCCTCCACAGTTGGAGCATGCGCGGTCAATCCGATGCGCCCCCCCCCACCATCACTGTCAAAAAAACAATGCAAAGTCCAGGCAGAGTCTCGAGTCATCTTCGTGAGGCCCACGAACACTTTGTATTGTTTTCGACACGGGCGACGGGGATGTCAGAATATTCCCTGCTGCGCGCAGGGCTACCATCACAGAGAAAAACAATACAACATGCACCTCCCGGCTAAATCTGGATCATGCGCGGCCATCCCACGATCACTGTCAAGTGTTTTTGACAGGGACGGCGGGGGTGGTGGCGCGTGGCCTGCTGTGCACAGCCCCACCAAACGCAATGATGGGCATTGGTTTTCGGTAAGGAGGCGGGGGCCGACATGATTCCCGATGTGTGCTGTCACGTGCGCACGCGCACCTGACACACTCTGCACGTGCCCCGAACATGGCGCACCTGGCGCGGCTGGAGTGTGCGACACACCTGGCGAACTCGTGGCACGCGTGGCGCACCTCGCCCAAGCGTCGCGCACCTGGAGTCGGCTTTGGTTCCCAGTAGCTGTCCAAAGACGACCGCTGAACCTGCTCAGGCTCGGGTCTAACTTCGGTGTTGGGAGGGCGGGTGGGAGTGAGCTAGACGGCTTGCGGGCGGGTGGGTAACTTGACCCCTACCCCATACCCCCTCCCCTGGACCTGGACTGGGGGTTCAAGATGGCCAAAAACGACTCCAAGAGCGCCTCAGAGAGCCCAAGATGAGCTCCAAGATGGCTCAAGATAGCCTAAGATGTCTCAAGATGGCTCCCAAGAAGTTCCAACAGGCCCCCAAACCGCTCCAAGGCGGCTCCAAGAGGCTTCCGAGACCGTCAGTGAGGCCTCCAAGAAGCCAAACCAACGGAAAATCAATGATGTGTGCATCGTCGCCCGTTCGCTTTCGATGACCATCCGAGGCCTCAAGATGGCTCCACGATGCCACAAGAAGGCCCCAAGAGAGGCCCAAGAGAGCCCCAAGACGGCCCCAAGAGCGCTCCAAGAGCGCCCCACGAGCGCTCCAAGAGACAATTGTTGGGGCTCCCGAGGGGCAAAACCCCCAAGAGGGTCCCCAAGGCTCCCAAGAGCGCCCCACGAGGGCCCTAAGAGGCGCCCAGGCGGCCCCAAGAGGCGCTCAAGAGGCCTCAGAGAGGGTCCGAAGAGGCCCCCAAGAGGCTTCAAGAGGATTTCCGAGGCACCCAAGATGGCCCCCCAGACGCTCCAAGAGGCCTCAACAACAACAAGAGACATCCGAGGAGGCTCTTCTGATCGTAAGGTTGTCCTCCTCCTCCCCTTCCTCATCCTCCTCCTTTTCCTCCTCCTTATCCCTTATCCGCCGCCTCCTTATCCTCCTCCCTCCTCCCTTCTCTCTCTCCCCCCCATCCTCCTCCGCCTCCGCCTCCGCCTCCTCCTCCTCCTCCTCCTCCTCCTCCTCCTCCTTCTCCTCCTCCTGCTCCTTTGCACTTCCAAGAGAAACCAGAGGAGACCCCGAGAGTCATTCAAAAAGCTTATGGCTCTTCTGTTTGCCCTCTTTCTTCCTCCTCCTCCTTTTCCTCCTCCTTCGTCGCCGTCATCGGCGTCGTCTTCTTGGTCGTCATCTTCGTCGTTGTCGTCGTCGTCATCGCTGTCGTCGTCGTCGTCGCTGTCGTCGTCGTCGGGTGCGCCGTCATTGTCGTGGTCATCGCCGTCGTCGTCGTCGTCGTGGTCGTCGTCGTCGCTCTCTTCCTCTCTCATCCCACCGCCTTCTCTCCCTCCTCCTCCTCCTCCGCCCCGTCCTCCTCCCACTTCTCCCACAAGGAGGAAATAACATGAATCACACAGGAATTAGGAGAAACAAGAGGACATAAACGAGGGCAAGAGGATGCACGCGCGATAAAACCGCGACAGTCGGCACGCTTCGCAACCCCAGGATTTGGGAGCGCACCCAGGGACATGTATAAGGAGTGCCGTCCAAGCCATCCCGCCTTGTGCCAGGGTTGTGGGTGAGGCATCGAGCTTTGGGACGCCTGTCGGGGTCTCTTTGGAAACCTCTCAGTTACTGGGGGAGGCGGTTTGGGGGCTTCTTGGGAGCCTCTTGAGGGCCTCCTGGGGTCTCTTGTGGGCTGGGGCCCTGAAGGGGGCCTCCTGGGAGGCCTCTTGGGAGCCTGTCTTGGCTTCCTGGGGGTCCCGGTGCGCGGAGAGGTTGAAATGTTGGTTCGTGCTCCCACTCTGGAGGACAACAGTGTTCCACTACTCGCGGAGTAATTACTCGCAAATGACCTGGATCTGCCGCGGGGGATTCACAACCAATTATATCGAGGCCGACACGCGTGTTCTCTGACGATTGCGAGTATGCACTTTGCGAGTAGTGGGACGCGCTCGGTGATCTGGGGCCGATCTTGGGTGGGTCCTGGGGTGACCTTGGGCCGTCTCGGAAGCCTCTTAAGCTGCCTTCGGGGCCCGTTTGGGCCGTCTGGGCGTCCACCTGCGGGGCCTCTCTACTCGGGGCGCTTCTCGGTGCCTCAGAAAGAATTCTGAAGCACCGGGAAGCCAAACAAGCGAAAACGCAAAGGCAAAATAAAAAAAGCGACGAAGCACACGTGAATGTTGCCTCCTGGGCCTCTCTTGGGGTGCGGACTCACTGGGGGGGCGCTGTGGGCCACCTGGAGGCCATCACGGTCCTCAGGGGCACATTATTCGGCGACTCGGGGCCCTCGTGGGCCGTCTGGGGCACCTCTTGGGACGCCTCGGAGGACTTCTGGGACGGGCCCGGGCACCCCAGCCTAGTAAGCCGGGATGTTTCTTTGCATAGATCCTGTCGTGTCCCGGGCACCCCAGCCTAGTAAGCCGGGATGTTTCTTTGCATCGATGTATAGGTTCACCGATAGATGTATGCATTTTGAAATATACAGAGATACGCATGGTATTACCGATATTATATGTATACATATATATATATATATATATATATATATATATATATATATGTGTATGAGGTGTGTACATATGTATTTATATGCATACATACATACATATGATAACACACGATCGATGATTGCCCTGGTGATATGACAGGGAGTTCGAGGAAGGGGCCGCTGCACAAGAGCATACCGTTCCGGAGATCCGCGGGTGCTTCCATGGGTCGGCGCGGGGCCCCCGCTGGCGGCGACACCGGCGCGCGCGAAGCGCGCCATGGGGCGGCGGCGGAGGCACCGCCAGGGGGTCCAGTTGCGATGCAAGAAGCCCCCGTGGACCTCCAACGCTTCTTGGACGAACAATGAAAAATACTCACAACATACCCCCAAAATGCGGAAACATAGTAACAAATAGTCCCCGAACTATTGTTTGACTATTTTTGAGCATTCCTTCTGTAGAGGGACAGGCCCGACTTAACACCAGTTGGTAGGCCAGCTCCTTGCTTGACGCGCCCACTGGCACCGAGCTGCCCCGCTCATTCCAGCGGGTCGTCGTCCACCATGCCCGACAGGTATCCCTTCGCCTGCCCCAGCGCCTCGATCTCCTTCAGCCTGGCGTCCTTCGGCGGCGAGCGAGGGAGGGAAGTGAGAAGGGGCGGGCCTTCTCAGAGGGCTCGGAAGTCCCCAGCCTTCAGAAGAGTGTTCCAAGCCTTCCCCGAAGACGCAACAGAAGCCTTTCAGAAGGCGCGAGGGCTTCTGAGAAGTCCCGCCGCCTTCCGAGAAGGCCTTCCCCTTCTCTTTTCCCCCCTCGCCCGCCGCCGAGTCCTGCCGGACGTCGAAGTTCTGCAGCAGGAAGTCGCACTCCGCGCGGAGGTCGGCCAGCTGCTGGGCCAGATCCTCGAGCACCCCCCGCGCGCTCGCGAGCCGCGAGGCCACGTCGGCCTTCTCCTCCGCCGCGGCGGCCCTTGTCTTGGTCTTGGACGCGATTGCCTCCTGTGAGGTGAACAGGGGCCGACCGTCTCAGCTTGCCTTTCGGCCTACCACGGCATGTTCTCAGAACACAAGAGTGTTCTACGAACAAGAGCAAGGTGTGCTTAGAACATAAGCTTGACGTGCGAAAACAAGACAGTCTCAGCCAGACATGTTCCACGAACGTTCGTTGCAGGCCGCAACGGGTTCTTAGAACATTCCTTGATAGGCCTAGGGGCAGGCCAGGACGGTTCGCCACTGCTTGAGTGAGGGGGCACGTCTCAGGGGGGGGGGCCGGCTGAGCGGGGGAAGGATCGAGCTGGGATCGGCGACGCATCGCCGACAGATCGGCGATAGACCCTCGACACCGAAACCGCACCGTCCTTGGCGGGGCGGGCCAGCGAGCCCCTATCGGCTACGAATGGGCGATCGGGGGTCGATGCATCCTCCCCTGAGCCTCCCGCCCCCCCCCCACACCCCCTGAACGCTCCCCCCCTGATCCTGCAGACTCTTGGTGGAGGCCGTGGAGTCGTTCACGAACGACTCATAGGCCTTCTGCGCCGCCTGCTCGGACGCCATCGCCTCCTCAGAAGAAGAAACAGCTGCCCTGGCGTACACTATGCGAAATGCTTGAGAAATCATGGGTTAAAAATTCATAGTCTCAGATTTTGAATAAAAGCCCAGAACTTGCATTAAAACCTTAGGACTTACATTGAAACATTAAGAATGATCGAGACTCTGGCCGAAAACGTAAGTTTTCTTAAGTATCGCCTAGGGTGTAAACTTTTGGACCCCCCCCCTACTCAGCGCGCGGAGCGCGCCAGGGGCGGCGCCTCTGGCGCCGCCAAAGGGGGCCCCAGCGCAGATCCAAGAAATCCGGGCGGGGTTCGCGCGGCGTCGGCGCGCACCAGGCTCTTTGACGCTGCGTCGATCGTTCCACCTGGAAATCGGGCGTCTCGGAAATATCGAGACGGAGGTTTTTCACAATTTTTGGCCTCTCGGGGCCCTCGCCGGGCCTCGGGACCGTCAAAAAACGACTCGGGATGAGAAACCGGTCCCGGGGAATCCCTGGTATCGATCGCAACACCGATCGTTCAAGATTGAATTCCATCGGGTCCGATGGCGTTACCATGTCCCTCGGTGCTTCCGCGCCGCAAAATGCAACGTGGAACGCATTCGCCAGCGTACTGTGTGCACTTACTTATTCTCGGGCTCCTTCTCCACTGCCGCCGAGTCCTCCACGATCGTTGATATCAGGGCCACCACCTTGGAGCCTCCCTGGTGCTGCTTGTAGGGCTGGAACTGAGCCGGCGGCGTCTGCGCGTCCTGCAGCGCCGCGACTCCCTCCCGCTTCTTGAAGACCTGCGTGAGGCGGTCGATGACCTTCCTCAGGATGGTCTGAACGGCACGCTGGTCCGTGACCTTCCGGGTCGGGCGAAGGGGGGGCTTCAGTGAATGGGGAGGGTTAACGAATCAGCTCGCGTTACCGATTCTCGTGGCACCTCCCTGCGCCCGTACATCGGCGAAAAGGCATAGCGTCGGAGCCGAAAGCAGCTGCATGCAGCAGACTCCGTACTCCCCCCCATGCAGCAGAATTCGTCCGACCCGAACCTCGCTCTGGAACTCGAGGTTCTCCTTCTGCCGAGCCTCGCTGGCCTTCTTCACCTCGACGGCAAGTCTGGCAATCTCGGCCTGGGCGGCGGCGATGCCGTCCTCAAGCTTCTGGATGGTGTCTGCGAGCTCGGCGACCTTGTCCTTCAGGTCCTCGGCCAGACGCCCCGTCTTGTAGGTCTGCTTCTCGTTCTCGCCCAGCTCGGCCGTGCAGTAAGCCTTCTTCTTGACCTCCTGGGACTGCTCCGTCTTCAGGGAGGCCACCTCGGGCCGAGAACGGTGCCACGACGCGCTGGGCTCAGGACACGCTCCAGGACTTCCAGAGTAGATTCGGGGGTGGACAGAACCCCCAACAGTGACACGCCGATCAGTGAATTGTCCGTTGTCGGTTCTCGAGAGGGCGCCGTGGCCGTTATTTTCCAGGCTTGCGCCCGTTTGCTAAAGGGGGTCTGTCCATCCCCGATATATACAGCAGCCCTCGCTTCTGGGGCCCGAGAACGGAACGGCAGGGCATCCTGGCAATCCTGGAGCGCAGCACTCTCATGACGCCTTGCTCCTCTGAGGGGAAGTGGGGGGCCGAACTCTACACACCGACGCTTTTTCTGGCCCCGCACTGAGATTCGCACGGGAAAAAAGCGGATCCTGGGGTATACAGAATCCTGGTGTATACATTGCTCGCTGTTCCCCAGGAAATTGTGGAGCAAATATACACCACACCACCCCGACGTCGTCCACGACCCTCAAAAAGCCGTGGAATTGAAGAACAGCCTGCCACTGGTGATGTCTACGCTTAGGTCGGGCCTGTCCCCCTACAGGGGGATGTTGGACGGAAAAATAAAACATACGCAACAAAAAATTAAGAGATGCCCAGAAGTACTCAAGAAATAGTCCCCAGGCTATTTTTGGCTTATTTCTGAACGTTCCCCTTTAGAGGGACAGGCACGACTTCAGTCTGTGCGCCAGCTTCCGAGAACGGTTATACCTGTGGACACGGGCCCCGGAAGCCCGGAGCTCGGGTCGGGGCCGGCCCATCACGGGGGGTGGAACGTGGTTTAGTGAAAACGACCTGAGGCCCAAACCTGGCGGGCGCAAGCCTGGAAAATAACGGCCACGGCGCCCTCTCGAGAACCGAAAGCGGACAATTCACTAATCGACGTGTCACTGTTGGGGGTTCTGTCCACCCCCGACATCATCGGGGATCTTCTGACCCAGGTCAATCCAGACCCGGGTCAGCAGGAAACCAACCAACTGCAATGCAGAACAAATAACTGCAACGCATAGGGGAACAAAAAGTGGCATAAACATCAAAACTCGGAGGTCCGCGCGGATTTCTCGGATCGGCGCTGGACCCCCCTCCCTGGCGCGTGGAGCGCGCCAGGGGCGGCGCCGGAGGCGCCGCAGGGGGGCCCCAGCGCCGATCCGAGAAATCCGCGCGGACCTCCGAGTTTTTATGTTTATGTCATTTTTTGTTCCCCTAACGCAGGTCTTCGCGAACCTGGGTCAGCCAATGTGCGCGGCCGCCCCGCGGCCACGAACGGCTCGCTGACCCGGGTCAGCCAGGGCGGGTCTTTGCAGGATCCTGCAGGATCCGGAGCCCTGGCTGACCCCCGTTTGAATTGACCCCCGTCTCTTTGAAGGGGCCCCAGGACACACAAATAAGTAAACACAAATAAAACTATTCCCAATATTTTCCCATATTTTCGGGGTTTCTGTCTTCCCCCTCACTTCCCATATTTTCCCAGATTTTCTGGGGAATCGACGATTAATTGTGTCTGTGTGATTCTTTTCCTCCTGACTCTTGAGCTCCGACATCACCCCGAGCAGGTGCCTGCCGGCCCGGAGGGGCGGAGGGACACGGCCCCCCCAGTGGCCGAGGCGACGCCTCGATAGGACCGCGCGCCCCTCCAGGACTGGAGGCCTCCCCGGATGAGCTCCGAGCACACGGGGTCGGAGGACCTCACCGCATCTCCGCTGCGTCGGCGATGCGTCGCCGACGCCTCGGCGCTGCATCGGCCATGCACCGGCGACGGCAGCGATGCGTTGGCGACGGCGGCGCGGAGGAAACTGGGCCCCACACGGAGCCGCAGCGCCGAGGCATCGGCGATGCATCGGCGATGCGGCGCGACCCTGCGATCCCATCCGCTCCGAGCCCGATCCAGGAGGCCCCAGGGCCCCATGTCCTCTCGGGGGCGGTCAGAGCCCCTTCCTCCTCCTCCTCCTCCTCCCCCTCCTCCTCCTCCACCTCTCCTCCTCCTCCTCCTCCCCCTCCTCCTCCTCCTCCTCCTCCTCCTCCTCCTCCTCCTCCTCCTCCTCACGGGCGGTCAGAGCCCCCTTCCGCGGAGCACCCTTCCGTGAAAGCGGCCCGCGGGGGCCAAACCGAGCGGGCACGTGCCGGCAGAAGCGGCGGCCGCCGCACCCCCTCGAGAGGTCGGGCGAACACGCCCCACGGCCAGCGTCGCGGATCGACCTGCCGGGGTGGGGGTCCGGCGAGTGCTCGGGCACAGCCCCGGCGCCCGATACATCTTCCGGATCCGCCGGATCTCAGGGAGCCCCGATTTGTCCTGATCCGATGTTGTCCCAGTCGTGGCTTCGTCTTGCCTCGGGGGCTGGCTTCGGGCCCAGGGGCCGGCGGACGACGGCTCGGCCCCCCGACCCGTCTCGGCGAGCCACCATGTCGTCGATCGCCTTCTTCACCTGCGCGAACGCGTCGAGCTGGACCTGCACCGCCACGGCGGCGAGCTGGTCGTGCGGCTTCTCCTCGGAGCTGCGCCACACCTGAATTGAAGAACGAAAAGCCACATGAACCTGAACTTCTGGAGGCCCGCGCGGATTTCCTGGATTCGCGCCGACCCCCCACCCTGGCGCGCGGAGCGCCACAAGTGTAGGTTTGTGGCGCTTTCTCTCTTCTTCGAGCGTGATGAAACAGGACAGAAGAGCGGCCCACACAACATGGGGCTCGCACCGCCCTCACCATGAGCACCCACACGGGCGAAACGCTCTTTGCAAGCGCATCCAGGGAAGGAACCGAGCAGGGCAATGCTGCCCAGCATAGGCCCAGGACTGTGCGTGTGGCATGCAGGAAGCGGGCCTGGGGCCAGGGGCCTTCCCCCCAAAGACAAATTCAAAGGGGTCCAGGGACACACAAACAAATCTTTACAAATCCCATGGTTCCCAATGTTTTGCAATATTTCCTGGGTTTTCTTCTTCCCTCCCACTTCCTCGATTCTCCAATATTCTCCTGGGAGGCGACGATTCATTGTGTCTGTGTGTGTGTGTGTGTGTGTGTGTGTTTTCCCCTCCTGGCGACTTTCATCCTGAATAATTGTTTGACGGTCCCGGGGGCGGGGGGGGGCTCCCTGGAGGCAGAAAACACACCGCCGAAAAATCCCAGGGCCCGTTTCCCTCAGGACCCGCTTGCTTCTTTTGGGCACTCCACGACCCTTCTCCACCAAAGGTCTTCAGCTCGCTGCGGTGGGGGGCGCCAGCAAAGGACCCGCGTGCTCTATGGCGATCGACCCCCTGGAGCCTGGCACGCTGCGGGCTACTCCCTGGACGTCTCCCGCGGGGCGCAGTCTGACCAGCATTTCCATGCGAACCCAGACATTCAAGAACTCCCGCATCCTCGCTGTTAGGCGGCGACACCCGAAGCCTACCTTCGCCTATATCATTGACTCTCCTGAGTCGATGGGCGGCGGGGGTAGGGTTCGGATTTCGCCACGTGCTCGACGAATTCCGAACCCTACCCCCGCCGCGGATCGGCTTGCATATGTCTTCGATCGGCGAGGGTGGGTCGGGCGTTGGCAGAACTGGATTTAGTGGAACCTGGTTTAGTCAGTTTAGTGCTGTGTACTGGGGGACTGGGGGACAGCCACCCCCACCCCGTTCCGCTGACGGGAACCGCCATCACCCGAAAACACCAGCTACGGCAGACCTGGTTTCGCGATTCTGGCAAATATATTTGGACGCCCGAGATGGGCACGGAAAAAATGGGTACAATGCCCAACAGCAAATGTTGTCCAAAACCAACAGCGGCCGCTGTTGGGCAGGCGGCCTGCTGTCTCAAATGTACGCAGGCTGCGGCGACACCGACAGCGACCCCTGTTCAAAACGAACAGGAACTGCTGTTGGGCACTGTACCCATTATTTCCGTGCCCATGTCATACGTGCCGAATTTAGGGGCTCCAGGGCCCTACTACTGACCGGGTCCCCTTAGCTGAGGTCCTGGCTATACTTAAGTCGTGCCTGTCCCCCTACAGGGGGATGTTCGACGAAAAATAAAACAATACACCCAAAATACGCAAAAGATGGTCCAGCCATAGTCTGGGGACTACTTTTTGGAGTATGTGTCGACCTTTTTGGGGCCTTGCTGTGGGGTACTTGTTTTATTTCTCGTCGAACATCCCCCTGTGGTCCCTCCTCCCTCCTCCCTCCTCCCTCCTCCCTCCTCCCTCCTCCCTCCTCCTCTTCCTCCTCCTCCTCCTCCTCCTCCCTCCTCTTCCTCCCTCCTCCTCCTGTGGGGGGACACGCCCGACATGACATGCTATATACCCGAGTGGGGCTCCGACCTCGCCGCCCAGCCAAGGCCTCCACACGCTCTGCACCTGCCCGCCCCTCTCCCGCTCCGCGCGCCCCCTCCGCCCCGCGGCACCCACACGCCCGCCTGCCCCCTCCCTCCTCCCTCCTCCTCTCCTCCTCCTCCCTCCTCCCTCCTCCCTCCTCCTCCTCCTCCTCCTCCTCCCTCCTCCCTCCTCCTCCCTCCTCCTCCTCCCTCCTCCCTCCTCCTCCTCCTCCTCCTCCTCCTCTCCTCATCCCTCTCCTCCTCCTCCTCCTCCTCCTCCTCCTCCTCCTCCTCCTCCTCCTCCTCCTCCTCCTCCTCCTCCTCCTCCTGACCGCAGCCAGGACTCCCGCTGCGGCCGACCAACACTTCGCGGCCGCTGGGGAGCAGTAACAGTGCCCCGTGGCCTCTGCGAGGGGGCCTGAGTGAGGAGGGCCAGGAACATTACAGGGAGGGGGGGGTCTTCTTTGCGGATGCCTCAGACGAAGCCGCCCAGCATGCTTCGGGATCCCCCCTGAACACCAGTGACCTGAGCTAGCCCACGAATTCCTCGTGTTATTAAGGTTAGGGCTGCATGGTGCTCACGGCAGCTTCGTGTCGTGCCGGCATCGGCGACGATCCCAGAGATCCGACGTCGTGATTTTCTCAATACGCGGTCCCCCGAAGTCTCGACCCATTCCCCAGGACCGGATTCTCATCCTGAGTCGTCTTTTGACGGTCCCGGACCCCGGCGAGGGCCCCTAGAGGCCGAAAATCGAGAAAAGCCTCCGTCTTTGTTCCCAACCATCATGTGGTGTTGGGTCCTCGTTTTGAAGAGACAGCGCCCCACGTCCCACCTCCTCTCCTCCTCCTCCCCCTCCTCGCCCTCCTCCCTCCTCCCCCTCCTTGCCTCTGCTCTCGGCACACCCCTCACACGTTTCGTAGCCCCATAGGGAGCTCCACCGAAGGTCCCAGTGGCACAGCCCGCATGCGGTTCCCCCACCCAGGGCAGCGTTTCGTGGCCCCATAGGGAGCTCCACCGAAGGTCCCAGTGGCACAGCCCGCATGCGGTTCCCCCACCCAGGGCAGCGTTTCGTAGCCCCATAGGGAGCTCCACCGAAGGTCCCAGTGGCACAGCCCGCATGCGGTTCCCCCACCCAGGGCAGCGCTTTCGTGGCCCCATAGGGAGCTCCACCGAAGGTCCCAGTGGCACAGCCCGCATGCGGTTCCCCCACCCAGGGCAGCGTGGCCCCATAGGGAGCTCCACCGAAGGCCCCAGTGGCACCCCGCATGCGGTTCCCCCACCCAGGGCAGCGTTCGTGGCCCCATAGGGAGCTCCACCGAAGGTCCCAGTGGGGGCAGCCCGCATGCGGTTCCCCCACCCAGGGCACGCTTCGTAGCCCCATAGGGAGCTCCACCGAAGGTCCCCAGTGCACAGCCCGCATGTGGTTTCCCCCACCCAGGGCAGCGCTTCGTGCCCCATAGGGAGCTCCACCGAAGGTCCCATTGGCACAGCCCGCATGCGGTTCCCCCACCCAGGGCAGCGTTTCGTGGCCCCATAGGGAGCTCCACCGAAGGTCCCAGTGGCACAGCCCGCATGCGGTTTCCCCACCCAGGGCAGCGTTTCGTGGCCCCATAGGGAGCTCCACCGAAGGCCCCAGTGGCACAGCCCGCATGCGGTTCCCCCACCCAGGCAGCGTTTCGTAGGCCCATAGGGGCTCCACCGAAGGTCCCAGTGGCACAGCCCGCATGCGGTTCCCCCACCCAGGCAGCGTTTCCGTGGCCCCATAGGGAGCTCCACCGAAGGCCCCAGTGGCGCAGTTCGCACATGCGCCCCCCCACCCCCCCCCACCCAGGGCAGCGTTTCGTGGCCTCATAGGTAGCTCCCCCGAAGGTCCCAGTGGCGCAGTTCGCATGCGTCCAGTACTGCGCTTCGTGGCCCCATAGGGAGCTCCACCGAAGGTCCCAGTGGCGCAGTTCGCATGCGTCCTCCCCACACCCAGTACAGCGTTTCGTGGCCCCATAGGGAGCTCCACCGAAGGTCCCAGTGGCGCAGTTCGCATGCGTCCCCCCCCCCACCCAGTACAGCGTTTCGTGGCCCCATAGGGGGCTTTCCCGAATGCGACTCCCACAACTGCATATGGTTGGGTCTTTCGCCAGGCTAATTTTTTGTCAATACGTTGGAGGTCTGGCGTCGCACGTCTGGGCAGGCATCGCTGCTCGCTGCGGTATAGGTCCGCGCCATTGGCGACCGCCGCCGCCGCGCCCAGACATGCGACGCCCTGACTCTGGCCATCGCTCGGACGTCCATTCCCTGTGTTTTTTTCGGTTTCGGGCGTGGCTTTTTCGCCAAATGATCAAGGATGCTTCTCGATGGTCCTCGCCGAGAAAAAAAAGAACACACGTCCGATCGATGCCAGGGACTTTTGTTCAGTGCGGGGTCCCCAGGAAAAATCCCGACCCGTTCCCCGGGGCCCGTTGGTTCATCCCGAGTCGTCGTCTGACTGTCCCGAGGCCCGGCGAGGGCCCCGCCCCCGGGGCCGGAAGTAGCGAGAAACCTCCCTCCCGCCCTGTGTTTCCCAACCAACCTGTGTTGTTGGGTCCCCGTTTTGAAGAGACGGTCCCTGCGTTCCTCCTCCTCTCCTCCTCCTCCTCCTCCTCCTTCTCCTCCTCCTCCTCCTCCTCCTCCTCCTCCTCCCCCTCCTCCTTCTCCTCCTCCTCCCCTCTCCTCCTCCTCCTCCTCCTCCTCCTCCTCTTCTCCTCTCCTCCTCCTCCCCCCCCTCCTCCTCCTCCTCCTCCTCCTCCTCCTCCTCCTCCTCCTCCTCCTCCACCCTGCGTTTCACCCACCCAGTAAAGCGCTTCGTAGTACAGCGCTTCGTGGCCCCATAGGGAGCTCCACCAAAGGCCCCAGTGCTTCCGTCCACATGCGTCCCCCCCACCCATTTCGGCACACCCCTCACACGCTTCGTGGCCCCATAGGAGCTCCACCGAAGGCCCCAGGTCTACCGTCCACATGCGTCCCCCCCCACCCAGTACAGCGCTTCGTGGCCCTCCTCCCCCTCCTCCTTGCGTTTCACCCACCCAGTACACCGTTTCGTGGCCCCATAGGGAACTCCACCGAAAATTCTAAGTCTACGGTCCGCTTGCGTCCCCCCATCCAATACAGCGTTTCGTGGCCCTCCTCCCCCTCCTTCCTCCGTTTCACCCACCCAGTGCAACGTTTCGTGGCCCCATCGGGAGCTCCACCGAAGGTTCCAGGTCTACCGTCCGCATGCGTCCCCCCCCCACCCAGTACAGCGTTTCGTGGCCCTCCTCCCCCTCTTCCTTGCGTTTCACCCACCCAGTACAACGCTTCGTGGCCCCATAAGGAGCTCCACCGAAAATTCCAGGTCTACCGTCCGCATGCGTCCCCCCCAAACGGAAAGAGCGAGGTACGAGTGATGACATTCTGGTGTGGGCGAAGCCCCTTAAGGGGGGGTCCAGGGGGGGGCGTAGGGGGAACATTTGCGGTCTAATGGCCGTTTTGGGGGTTTTCCTTTGGGTTTTTGCATTTAACGGAAAGAGCGAGGTACGAGTGATGACGTTCTGGTGTGGGCGAAGCCCTAATAGAAAGGGTTCCAGGGGAGGGGGGTAGCGTTCGCATTTGCGTGTGAATTGCCGTTTTCAGGTTTTCCTTTGGGTTTTTGCATGTTTTTCGGGCTCCCCCCCAAGACGGCCCAAGAGCGCTCCAAGAGAGCCCAAGACCGCCCAAGACGGCCCAAGAGGCCCCCAAGAGGCCCCCAAGAGGCGCCCAAGGGGCGTCCCAAGAGGGCCCCAAGAGGCCGAAATCATTGATTTCCCAAGGGAAAACGTGCATTTTTAGCATATGCGCTTTGTCGGCTTTCACGGCGTTGACGACGGCCCAAGAGGCCCCCAAGACCGCCCCAAGACGGCCCAAGAGGCTCCCAAGAGGCCCCCAAAACAGCCCAAGAGGGCGCCAAGACGGCCCAAGAGGCGCCCAAGAGGGCCCAAGAGGGCCCCAAGACGGCCCCAAAAGGGGGACCACGAACCGAAAAGACTAGCCTTTCGCGCCAAGAAGCTCCCAGGAGGCCCCAAGAGCCCCCCAAGAAGCCCCAAGAGGCCCCCAAGAGGTTCCCAAGAGCCTCCAAACGGGCCCGACACGGGGTCCAATGGGACTCCCAAGAAGGCCCAGAGACGCCAAATAGAGAGCGATCGGTAACGCAAAAAGCTCTTCACACTAAGGCTCCCAAGAGCGAACGGTGACGTAAACAAGCTGATAAGACCAAGGCTCCCAGCAGAGAGCGGTGACGTAACAAGTTCCTGACACCAAGGCCCAGCCAAGGCTCAGGAACGGGCGGCAACGCAACAATCTCTGAACACCAAGGCTCCCAAAAGCGAGGGGTGACGTAACAAGCTCTCAACGCCAAGGCTCCCAGTACGAACGGTGGTGTGAGTAATTTCGGTTTCTGTTTCTGAAGCGCTGTTTCCGTTTCTGTGCCGGCCCAGGTCTACCGTCCGCATGCGTCCCCCCCACCCAGTACAGCGTTTCGTGGCCCTCCTCCCCCTCCTCCTTGCGTTTCACCCACCCAGTACACCGCTTCGTGGCCCCATAGGGAGCTCCACCGAAGGTTCCAGGTCTACCGTCCGCATGCGTCCCCCCCACCCAGTACAGCGTTTCTTAGCCCTCCTCCCACTCCTCCCTGCGTTTCACCCACCCAATACACCGTTTCGTGGCCCCATAGGGAGCTCCACCGAAGGTCCCACTGGCACCGCCCGCATGCGCCGGCCACCGCCCAACACAGCCCTTGCTCCCTACGTTTCACCCACCCAGTACAGCGTTTCGTGGCCCCATAGGGAGCTCCACCGAAGGTCCCAGTGGCGCCGTCCGCATGCGTCAGCCACCAGCCAGCACAGCCCTTGCTCCCTGCGTTTCACACACCCAGTACAGCGCGCCGTGGCCCCATAGGGAGCTCCAGCGAAGGTCCCAGTGGCATCGCCCGCATGCGTCCTCAACCACCCAGCACAGCCCTTGCTGCCTGCGTTTCACCCACCCAGTACAGCGTTCCGTGGCCCCATAGGGAGCTCCACCCAAGGTCCCAGTGGCACCGCCCGCATGCGTCAGCCACCGCCCAGCACAGCCCTTGCTCCCTGCGTTTCACCCACCCAGTACATGCAGCGCTGCTCTGGTGGGCCCCATAGGGAGCTCCACCGAAGGTCCCAGTGGCACCGCCCGCGTGCGTCAGCCACCGCCCAGCACAGCCCTTGTTCCCTGCGTTTCACCCACCCAGTACAGCGTTCCGTGGCCCCATAGGGAGCTCCACCGAAGGTCCCAGTGGCACCGCCCGCATGCGTCAGCCACCACCCAGCACAGCCCTTGCTCCCTGCGTTTCACCCACCCAATACAGCGTTCCGTGGCCCCATAGGGAGCTCCACCGAAGGTCCCAGTGGCACCGCCCGCATGCGTCAGCCACCGCCCAGCACAGCCCTTGCTCCCTGCGTTTCACCCACCCAGTACGGCGTTCCGTGGCCCCATAGGGAGCTCCACCGAAGAGGACATTCATAATTGCGGTACTCAACACTGCACATGCTTGGGTCCTTCGCCAAGAGAATTTTTCCTGCACGACGCGCTCCCGCCTGGGTGTTCTTCCTCCCGGGAGCCTGGTACGCTGCGGGCGACCGCCGCGCCTGCCTCGCGGCCCGCAGCAGCACCGCGGCCGCGCGGCCGCGTCGCGCCCGCGCGGCCGCGCCGCCCGCGCGCCGCCTCTGCAGCAGCGAGGCGCCGCCCGTGCCGAACTTGCGCAGCAGCAGCTCGCGGCTGCCGTCCTCCGCGAGGATGGCGATGGCATCGGCGACGGCCTCGGGAGGGGAGCGACGCAGACCCCACGGGAGGTTTCGCGCTGTTCTTCGGAAGCGGCCAAGAGGGGGGCGTCCAAGAGAGGGAGGGGTGCAAATCATGACCGGCGGCACGGGCGCGGCCCAGCGGGGGGGCCAGGGACGTCATGCAATAAGAAGAGGCGTCATGACATCTGGGGAAATATCCTGGCCCCCGCCATGATATCCCCCCCCTGGTCCTCCTCCTCCTCCTCCTCCTCCTCCTCCTCCTCCTCCTCCTCCTCCTCCTCTCCTCCTCCTCCTCCTCCACCCCCCCCCTGGTCATCACCCCCCTCTCCTCCGCCCCCGAGCTCTCGGCCTCCCCGGGGCCCTCACCGGGCCGCGGGAGCGCCAAAGAACGGGTATCGGGAAGAAGAACCGGTCCCGGGGAAGGGGTTCGGACCTCTGGGGGGTCGACCTATAGTGGAAAAACTGACGTGTCGTCCGGGGGGCCTGGGAACACGGAAACGCCGGCGGCGAGCGAGGGGGGAAAAGAGAAGGGGCGGGCCTTCGCTGAAGGCTCGGGAGTCCCCTGGCCTTCTGAGAGTTTTTGTTCGTGAGCCTTCCCCGAAGGCACAAAACACTTTCCGGAGGGCCAGGGGACTTCTGAGAAGCCCCGCCGGCTTCTGAGAAGGCCTTCTCCTTCTCACTTCACCCCCTCGCTCGCCGCCGCACACGGCATGCGGTCGGGAACCTGTGCTCAGCGCGTCGCGGCGGCGGCCCCGGCGGCACGCTGTGCCCGGCGAGGTGGTGGCCCGTCGTTCCGCCACGCGGGACGAGAGGCCGGGAAAAACTCGGGGCGTTGACGCTTATGGACTGGGACCAGGACGTGATTCGCGTGTCGCGCCGAGTCGTGGTGGGCCAGAAGAGGCGCCGCGACGCTAAGCTTAGTTAGGTCGGGCCTGTCCCCCTACAGGAGGATTTTGGACGAAAAAAACATGCCCCAAAAATAATCCAAACATTCTCAAAAACAGTCCAAAAATGGTCCCCAGACTATTTTTTGACTATTTTTGAATATTCCCCCTGTAAAGGGACAGGCCCGACTTAACGCTAAGCCAGAACGTTCCCGGTCATAAACATACCCCTTCGGAGGTCCGCGCGGATCTCTTGCATCGGCGCTGGGCTCCCCTTCCCTGGCGGCGGCGAGAGCGCTGCCAGGCAGGCCCAGGTGCGGATCCCAGGAATCTGCAGGGACCTCCGGGTGTGGATGTGCATGCAGTCTGTGCTTCCCCGAAGCCTGGATCTCCTCACCGCGGGCCCTGCTCCGCTGCTCGTACTCGTGGTCGAGGTCCTGGCACTGCAGCTTCAGGTTCCTCAGGAACTCGACGTCCTCGGACCGCTGCTGTCTTGTGAGCCCGAGGTCCTCCTTCGCGTCAGACAGGCCCTTGACGTTGGTGCTGAGCTCCGCCTCCAGATCGTCGAGCGTGGCCTTGTGGGCGGCGAGCTCGTCCTCGGAGGCTGCCTTCAACGCCTCGAACTCTTCCCGCGCCTCTGGGAGCAGGGGCCACTCGAGACCACCGCGGCTCTCCCACCTGACTCTCACCATCGGCCCCTGGACCCCTCCTGAGACCTCTTCTTTCGCGGCGAGTCCGGCCGTGGCGACGAGAAGCATCCGGGCGGCCCGCAGAGGACGGACACGCCGGGGGAGGCCTTGGCTGTCCAGACCGGCCCTCCGCCGCGCCTTGAGCTCGGCCTTCTGTGCCTCGCTCATGTCCAGCTGGAACTCCTCACGGCGGGCGAAACACGTCATAACGGAAACCTGTCCGCCATCGAAGGCGACTGCCCCAGGGCGGCTGGGAAGTGTCTACCCCCACTCCGGCACGTCAAGGTATCAGCTTTCCAGCCGCCCTGGGGAGAGCATCCCCACCAGCGGACAAGCTTATGCTATACCGCTCGGGGAGACGTGAGCCTTGGGTCCGGGGGACTCGGGTTGGCCTGACGGGGCCGTCAAAAGAATGACGAGGACACGTCCGCAATCTGACTCGAGCGCCCGCTGCAAACCTCCAACATCAACAGACATGTTAAGACTGTTCGCTCTTATCTGCGCGCGTGCCACTCAACACGTATATCCCAAAACCTCGATACCCACCCTCTTCGTCTTCGATCGCATCCCCTTGGGGGTAGATTTCTCTTGCCTGCAGCGTGTATTTAGTGCAGCACCTCAGGCAGGGGAAGAGAGGACGGATGGAAGGAAGGGACAGGACACGGGGGAGAGAGGAGGATGGAGCACGAGAGAGAGTAGCAGGAGGGGGGCTAAGAGCAGAAAACAAGTGGCAGAACCAGACGGGCAGACCGTGCGGGAAGACCCTAACAGGCGGGCCCAGGCGGCCAGGTCGAGCAGGCGGGTTGCTGAAGCGTGCGTCCTGCATGAACGGCGAGGATGCTTTCAGCGACAGCGCGATTCCAAAATGAACCTCGTGAGGAAATCCAAAGCGAGCGCGTGATTCCTGAGTGTCGAGAACGCGGCGCCTGAATCAATTGCGAGGAAGTCCCAAGCGACAGCGAGATTCCTGAGTGTCGAAAGCAGGACGCCTGAAACAAATGCGAGGAAGTATCCAGCGAGATCGCGATTCTTCTATACATTTCGCGGAATGCCCCAGTGATTCTTCGAGACATTGCAAGGAAGTATCAGGCGGCAGCCGCTGTTGTTCCAAATCGTGGGCCAGGGGCACAATTTGAGCAGGAAGACTTTCCCCGGTAAAAACACAGCGAACCCGGTGAGGGGCCATCAATTGAACAAATCACGCGTGTGTAACACGAATGCGTGAGTCCTGCATACTTCAGCAGAAATTCTCCGGCGAAAGCGCGACTCCTGAATGGCGAGGTTTTGGCGCCTGAATAACGTGTGAGGAAGTCATACGCGAAAGCGCGATTGATGGATGAATTTAAAGTAAGTCATTAGCGAGAGCGCGATTCCTCAATACATTGCGAGGAGACATCCGGCGGGAGCCGTTGTTGATGTAGTCCGGGGGCCAGGGGCGCATTTCGAGGAAGATTTGCTCTGATACAAGAAACGGTGCGAGCCCCGGGAGGGTCACTTCGGTAGTTGAAAGAAAACATATGTTACCAGAGAGCGGGGATCAACAACAATTATTATTCAGTCGTACACCTTCAGGACCGTCAGACTCCGGGAGCGCGTCAGAGGGCGCCCGCAGACCCCGAGTTCCGGGCGGCTCGCCTCGCACGCTCCCCCGAGCCCAGCTTCGCCCGCCGGTCCTCGAGCATCCTCGCGAGCGGCGAACGAGTCCGCAGCCGCGCCCTCGCGGTGCGCATCCCGGGGCGCGCCTCCGCGGATGCGCGGTCGCACGGAAGAGCGCCCCGCGCGGGGCGCCTCCGCGCGGAAGAGCGCCCCTTTCATCCGCGGGGGGGCGCGCCCCACAGGGCGGCGCCGCGCCCCGAGGGGGGCAGCGAGGGGGGGGACAAGCCTGTTCAGGAGGCGGCGGGGCGTCCCAGAAGCCCTCCGGCCGTCTCTCTCCTGGTTGGCCCGAGAGCGGGGGTCCAACGAAAAGATAGCGGTGCGACGGATCCGGTGCGACCGAGGACCGAGGTGTGGGTGGGGGCCTGCGGGAGATCTCCGGGGCATGCAGCACACTCCGGTGTGCGCACATGTGGTGCTGGGCTTCCGCGTGCAAGACGCGAGCTGCGAAACGGTGCAAGGCAAGTCTCTGGCGCAGAACGTGTGCACAGCATCTGGTGCACCGCCTTCTTCCAGCTGGACCCCCTTTGGGGTCGAACTTCATTGCAGGATGAGGAGGGGGAGGAGGGAGGAGGAGGAGGAGGAGGAGGAGGAGGAGGAGGAGGAAGAGGAGGAGGAAGAGGAGGAGAAGGAGGAAGAGGAAGAACAAGGAGAAGGAGGAGGAGGCTGGGGCACGACCGAGAGTGCCAGAGGCCCTCCGCAGCGAGCCGCCTCCCGAAGAGGCCCGCTCCCTCTGCACACTCCCTCCTCGGCCCGCCGCCGACCAGGGGCCCCGGCGCCCGCGAGGCCGCGGACATACAGTCGGGGCGTTGACCTAAGGAACCCCAAATAAGGAACGAGGCCCCTTTTTTACCATAAGTTGACCTTCGGTTTCCTGACGGAAACCTAAGGAAAGCCTGAGGCAAGCTGTGAAACACTTAAGGAACGCGGAGCCCCTCCCCAACCAAAAGGGTTCCTTCTTCAGGGCCCCGACTGTATACGGACACGTTCTTCGCCCACGGTGAAGTCGGGCCTGTCCCCCTACAGGGGGATTTTCGACGAAATAAAACGACGCGAAGATCGGGACAAAATCGGATCGGGATAACTCGAAATCTCTGAGAATCGGCGGGTTTGGAGGATGTAGTGGGCGCCGCGGCCGCTCCAGAGCGTTCCGGAACGCTCTGAGAGCGCTCCGGAACGCTCTGGAGCGATTTATCCCGATCCTAGCCCTGTTTTACGCCAAATAAAAAGTACACC